GGTTTTTTTTTCCCCAAAAAAACCATACTTTTCATTAGAAGAATGAAGACTTAGCCCATCTATCTCTGTTTTCCTATACCTTTTTTCTAACAGTTCCTGATTTGTTTATGGCAGAAATCAAAGCACTCTTAGGGATTGGAATCTGCCTGCATGGATTGCTCCGTTAATAAAAAGATAGGAAGGAGATAAAGGATCTCTGAATGGGTTGTGAGTAAAACCTGTGAAAGAAGGGAGAAAAAGTCTCTAGTAACTGTCTTTTCCTGATTGTCATTGAACCTAAATCGGGTATTAAGCACCTAGATATCCTTATGTTCCTTTCTCTTCCAATCCTAGGATTAGAAAAGATCCTGTCTTTGGAAATTTCACTGATGAAAGTCATTCCACATGACAGATTGCAGAGTTGCTAGTACCTTATCCCTTTCTCCTTTTCATTAAGGCTGTTGTTACACATATACAATCCACAGGGAGAAACCACTCTTACAGGCCTCCATCAGCAGACAGTAGTAGAAATAGTTACTGTAAATCCTTACAAGCAAAAAATAATAGTTTGTTAGGGATGATTATTTAGGCATGGCTTCACTATTGTCTCAAAAAGCAGAATGATACAGCAAGTTTCCTTGACAGAAGCATCACAAAATTATATACAGTACTTCACTGGTTCCCTCTGAGCTGTCGAGGAATCAGCCAGAGTAGAGAGGTTATGTGGTCCTGGTTCAAGAAAACCTGAGTGAGTTTTAGAGCAGCACTAACTCTTAAGAGGAGGCTAGATTTGAAAAGTCTGTTGAATTCTAAAGGTAAAGTTATCCCTTCCGTTGTGTAGCTGTTTTAATGTAAACAACAACTTCCAAGGTGGCTGGACCCCTGCCCTGGGTTTGCTCTCAGGCTACTTTTCCCGCCTAGGGCCATGATTAAACAGACATTTTAACTGCTGTTAAAGCTCTGCAGTCTTGGTGTTTTCAAAGTCTCTTCTGTTTCATTGAATGTTTCCCCCTGTGTGTGCGTAAAGATACTATAAACAGTTTTATTGTGTTCTCAGTCACAGGACCTTCCTTGTGGAAGGCCCACAGGGACCTTCTTCTTCTGCAACTTCTCCCATTTAGGAAAACAAAAACAATTTCCCAGGCATGTCAGGACTCCTTTGTAAACTTTTCTGAAATACCATTTTGAAAATGATGCTTCACATGGAGCCAGTTTCTCACTTTTGGTGACATACATATCACAGGACATTTAAATCGATCAGATGATTATTTCTTTTAAAAATTTGAAAACTCATCTAATGTAAGTTCAAAACATATATCCCTTTTTGATTTCTGTGTTCTGAATGTTTAGAGCAAAAGCAAAACAATAAGCCAAGGAGGGGTGTGTGTGTGTGTGTCTTTAATAGAATGCTAAAACAAAAACAGCCTCCGTTTTCCTTAAAATCTCAAAGTGACACTTTGGTTACAAGTAGAGACATTGCTGATTTGCTGGTCTTTTGTGACTGGATATTGATTGGCAAGGTAAGAATTGCTTATCACACTCCGATGAGCTTGATACTGCTCCTTGCCTAGGAGTAAAAGACGCAGCCTCTCCAGCAACATCAGTATTTTTCATGTCTTTCATTGCCTTTTTTGGTTCTTTCATGAACAATACAGTGAGGCAAGTTTCTATCAATAGCAAAGATTTGCCACCTTAAGTTTAGCTTTCTTTGCTGTCCTGATAACTTAGGGATGATTTCCTGACTGACATTGTTCAAAATAGGAAGAGAGAAACCCTTATTTGTTTTGTCAATAGACTATTGTTGAATGTCATTAAGGAGCAAGGGTAAGATTTTTAAAAACTGGATAACTTTGGGGCCTTTTTAGCCTTTTTGGCATTGTTCCTTAGATCCTCTACTCTCTGAGTGCTTTAAAAACACACAGTTTGAGGTGCAGCTGATCTCTATAGGAAAAATATAAGCCATGCCTGCATGAGACACAGCTGGGCTTGCTGTTCATGGTCATTACTCAAGAGTCTCTCTAGCCTCAGAATGAGTAAGGCTAAAATCTGTTCCCTTTACCCTGCCCTATTTTATGTAAATAAATAAATCTCCAAAATTTTCTACTGTACCATATCTATAAAGCTTAAGTTCTTAAGAATTTTCATCCAAGCTGGGCACGGTGGCTCACGCCTGTAATCCCAGCACTTTGGGAGGCTGAGGCCAGTGGATCACGACATCAGGAGATTGAGACCATCCTGGCCAACATGGTGAAACCCTGTCTCTACTAAAAATATAAAAATTAGCTGGGTGTGGTGGCGTGTGCCTGTAATCCCAGCTACTCGGGAGGCTGAGGCGGGAGAATCGCTTGAACCAGGGAGTTGGAGGTTGCAGTGAGCTGAGATCACGCTGTTGCACTCCAGCCTGGTAGACAGAGCAAGACTCCATCTCAAAAGAAAAAGAATTTTCATCCTGACCAATCTGGGTGACCAGTCAGTTAAATTGGTTTAGGAAGAACTTGCCCTAGATTGGTTGATGCATAATTTTTATTTTTACTAATTATCGGGTTTTTCTCTCTGATCTCTGCATTGAAAATTATTTCCTAAGCCATAAAGATTTGTTGAGGTACCATTCTAGAATCCCCAATATTTATTCTAGTTGTTATAGTAACAGTGGAACCCAAGTTTCTCCTAAAGCATTACTCAGCTTTCCTTGCCCAGGCAGAAAAGATGTCAGAGGGAGGGTGAACCCAGGGCCCATCTGTGGGTATGGGCTCCAATTTCCTAAATTGTCTGTGGTTATAACCATGGCTTCCACCTTGTCTGGCACCCGGTCCACATCTTTTCTGAGATCTGCTAGAAGGTGAGTAAAGGACAGCATAGGAAGGCCCAACAGTGGATTGAGGAGGGTCGGGTTATCTGGAGGACAGGGCGCAAAACTGGCTTCCCACAGTCCCTTTCAGTATTGCTGTGATGAGATGCCCGGAGGAAGGCTGTCAGAAAGAGCAGATGTGTGTAGAGGAAGAAAGTGTGTAGTGGAAGGACAGTGTTGTTTACTCTTATCTTGAGTGTGAGTAGAGAACTGTATTAACAATAGGGCTTTGTGCCATTGACAGTGTGTGAAAAAGGGAGCCTATATTACATTGGGGCTTGGGACCTGACCTGCCTATATCTAGCCAGCCAGAGTGAATGGGGTCAGTGTTAGCTGCCTTCATCTATGCAGTCACAAAGGTAAAGATGATACTGGAGAGTATATTCCCTCCCAGGAGGCCCTGGCCTCACACCCCTGCCACCTTGGCAAGACCTTGTTAATAACACCTTTATCTGAGACAGGGTTATGCCTCATCTCTTCTATGCCCTCATGACAAGTCTAGGTGGCTTCAGATCAAGAAGCGAGGCCGTGGAGGCGGACTGTCCCTCTGAGCGGCTCTAAAGTAGGGCCCAGCACACTGCCTTCCAGTAAGTTCTTGCCCACATTCCTTCATTCCCTTGAGGTAGATGTCTCCAAATACTCTTAACATGAAATGCATGTAATGAGGAGCAGGCCTATCATAGATCTTGATTTGGGGCAATAAAGATGTGTTTTTGTCACAGAACTTTTGAGGATGACATTGTAAATCCCTAACTTTTCTTTTCTTGATGCATGGTGACCCCAATCGCTGTTTTTTTCCAATAGATCTGTCAGCAGACATTTTCCAAGAAGGGGTCCCAGTATTCCTTCCTAAATGGTGAGATGGTCAGATGTCAGACTAACTGGTGGTGTGATGTTTTTTTCAAGGTTCTTCTGAATGATGGATTATTTGCTTGTGCTTAGAGATTGCCTACTTTTTCTTGCTTTCAGTTATGTTGAAGAAAGTGGGGGAAATGTTGCTTATTGGCCGAAATCATCTAATGTCTTTTTTGTGAACAAGAAATTAATTGGTTAGGACTTTTGACTATAAATTAGAGGTCATCTTAAGATTTTTAAAAAAGAAGAAAACACCCTTAAAATTAAATGAAAACTGTATTGGCTCCCTGTGTCTTTATTTCCTGTATTTTCTGGTGGAGGTACTTATATTTGGCCTTTACTCATTTAACAATTCCAGAGGCCAGGAGAAAGCCTGGCTTTTGATACCTGGTCTCTGACGATGCCAAGGAATTCTCCTCCCAAGGGAGGGAATCCCATAGCAATAAAAAGGACCTCTTTCTTTCCTCTCTCCAGCCCTTTCATTTTAAAGCAGCTATGGTGGCCACAACGTGTTTCTGTGTCTCCCAACTCAGAATCCACTCCCCAACCCTGGCCTCCTTCTTGCTCAAGTCCCAGCCCCCTCTGCAGCTTCTCCAATAGAGTCTGCTACTTGAAGAAAAGGAATAAAGACATCCCAGAAAACATACATTCTTTACCAAGGATAAAAACAGTTTTGTATTCTTGTAATTTAATGACCGTGCATGTGATCCTAATAATAGACATGGTGAATTCCATCTTGGAGAAGTCAAGGCAGCCAAAGAGGATTTGAACGTGGAGCTGGCCTACCAAGAACAGGAAGTGTCAGACTAGCCGTTTCATTCCTCTGAAAAGTAGAAATATGAGGTGCTGTGGATTCACAAGGAAAAACAAGCTCCCCTGCGCAAGTGGGGAATTGGGGATACAGAAAGCCGGGGCCCTGGAGAGTAAAGTGTGTCAGTGACGGGACTCTACAGGTTATGGCAGTACAGGTAGAAGGGCTAAATCCAGCACTGCCAGGCCCCAGTGAGATGACTTTTACACTAAATACAGCCACGTTAAGGGCCACAGTGCAGTTTACAGGCCAGAAAACAGGCCCAGGTTTCTTTTTTTTTTGAGACGGAGTCTCGCTCTGTCACCCAAACTGGAGTGCAGTGGCCAGATCTCAGCTCACTGCAAGCTCCGCCTTTCGAGTTAACGCCATTCCCCTGCCTCAGCCTCCCAAATAGCTGGGACTATAGGCGCCCGCCACCTCACCCGGCTAGTTTTTTGTATTTTTTTTTTTTTTTGGAGAGATGGGGTTTCACCGGGTTAGCCAGGATGGTCTCGATTTCCTGACCTTGTGATCTGCCTGTCTTGGCCTCCCAAAGTGCTGGGGTTACAGGCTTGAGCCACCGCTCCCGGCCACAGGCCCAGGTTTCTAATTTCCAATAAGATGAGTATGCATTGCGTTCTTTGTTATCCCAATGGCATCCTGATGTAGCAGTGTCCTTACACCTTAGCTAAACCTTCAGTAAAATTAGGTAAGATTTGCCCATATTTCTGGAATTGTGGAAAGATTTTAAATAGCCTGGAAATGAAGGACTTCAGTGCAAATTCATATTAACCTGTTGTTCCATCTAGATCTGCGCCTCACTTTGTTGCCTGCTGCATGTAATTGCATGGTCTTGCCTTTTTTTTTTTTTTTTTTTTAATTACAGCTTTCAGGCTTTAGAAAGAAAATGTAATTTTGATACAGTGGATGAATAATCTAATGGTAAATGAAGCAGACTTTTTAATGTTGATGCTGTTAAGGAGAAGGTTAATCATAGAATTCAAGGAGGTGGGAAGACAAGGTTATTCTTTGTTTGGAGGCCAGAGCCGTACCTTATGGTATCCACTGGGCCAGCAGATCAGCCCTCTTATCCTACCCATCGCAGTCTACCTGAGCTGGGAAAGAAGGCTGCTGCAGACCTAATTTCCCAGCTCCTGGGTCTGTGCCCTCCTTTGTGGCTGAGTTGACTTGGCTAGGTTTTCCCTCTGAGGTCATCACTTATTTATCCTTCCCTTATAAAATCGACTTTCTAGAGCTGACAGCCACTTGTTTGTTTCATCTTTCCTGAGAACTAAGAGAGGTTCACCCAGCTCAGTTCTTCTCAAAGACACCCCATCTGTGCATTGTGCTTATTTTCTCATCCATGAAAAGAGGAAGAGAGAACAGCCGTGGATGTGATGTCAGCATCAAAACTTCCTTGAGGACAGGAGGGATAAATTGGGCAAACGGCTGAGTTCTCCCGCAGCCTTTGGGAGACTGGCCCTGAGAACCCAGAATAGATGCCTATTACATCATGCATGTGCTATGGAAAGGTCTGTGCCAGGCAAGCCTGAGAGCCTCATTCTCTATTCCTATGGGGTTCCATGCACCTAACCTGGCTGCCAGGCTCCAACACCCACCATACTTGACCTGTACTGGGCATCCCCCCGCCATCCCTCACTCTGTATACAGTGAGTCTACCAGAAATCTTGAATTCCAGATGAGCCAGGTCATGCCATTGTCAGCACAGAAGGCCCTTTGAAGCCCCAAAATGGGTCATTTGCACTCTCTTCTTCTGCCTGCTCCTGTTCCCATGAGTGGTTGGCATGGAAAGGGCCATCAGTAGAACTTGGCTGGCAACATTTGCAGGAGCAGGAATCAAGAGAGGACCCAGGAGAAAGGAATGGAGCCCAGGGGATGAAACATAGTCCAGATTCTTGCTGGTGTGTCCATGTGACTTGGTTTCAATTCCTCACCATTGTGTCACTGTGGCCTTCTAGAGAAGTCCAAACTGCTGGAAACGGGCAGTGCTTTCTGTGCTAACCCCTTCTGGTCTAACTGCTCAGCTTAGAGGAAGGAAGAAAACACTCAGAATTCTGAGAGCAAAACCCCCCAAAAAATCTACTCAAAGCACCTGAAGTTCATCCCTGGGGAGGAGAAGAAAGGAAGAGCAGATGCCCTGTATCTCCATGGGAGTACCGAGGCACAGAGCTAGGGCCGCCTAACTGTCCAGGGTAGATCTCAGAGGGTGACTCATCTGAATTGCCGATTCCAAGCACCAGAGCAAGGTGCTCCTTAAGAACTGAGTCCGGGTTCATGTCTTCTGGGACCCCTGGCTTCCCTCTTCCCACTTGAGAACTAAAACTGGGTGCTCTGCCCACCCCGCTCACCCCGCCTTCACTTCAGTGCTCTTTCCCCTCATCTGTCATCCTTCGTGACAGAGGTTGCTTTTCAGAGTGACCCGCATTCCACCACCTTCTCCCCCTCCCTGTGAAGAGCCACATTTACTGGTAGTCCCCTGGCTCATCCTCCCCTGCAGGCGGGGGATGGGGGGCAGGGGATGTGGACAGACCCCTGTTGATGGTGATGTTGGGGACTACCCACAGAACAAAAGGTGCAGCCTCAAGGGCTTGAGCGGGGGATACTGGTGCCTGGGATCAGGTAGCTGGGAAAACAGGGCAGTTACATAACTCTGTTTACTGTGGCTCAGGTGGCTCTGAGAAGGCAGAGGCAGCCCCCGACAAAGGGCAGTGCCAGAGGTGGGGAAGCGGCGACTCACAGGGAGGGAGGTCCCTCTTAGACAGGGGAGTCGTGCTTGCAAAGGGGAGAGTGCAGTGGGATTTGGAAAGGAAAGGAATCTGTTCTGTTGTTGACAGCCAGCTGGCCAGCCGCCTTATCTAGGACCATCTTCCCAGCCTTAGCCTCTCCCTAACCATGCCAGCTGTGGAGGTAGCAAGGGAAGCTGAGCTAGAGGGAGGCGTCAGGAAATCTGACACCTGGTTCCTGGCTCAATCTCCAAACCTTGCTACCTTTCCCCCCTTAATCTACTTTTCAAAGAGAACGAATTATTCTCTTTAGATAAGGGCAGAAAGGGAGGAATCAGTCAAATTTCCTTACGTTTTCCCTGCTCTGTGGCCCTCTGTCTCCCATCCTCTCGGCTGTGAGGCCAGATGGGCACCACGGAACACGGTGGATTCTGACCTGAGAGAGGTGATAAACCTGGCAGAGCCCAGGCCTAAGCAGACAGGCAGAAATCAAAGCGGCTCAGGAAGAAAGCTCAGGTCTCCCGTAGACCTACCCCGCCTCCTCCTACAAAGCTGTTTACTCAACTCCCGATTCCCATAGAGATGAAACTGGTGGCCAGTCCCCAGCTCCTTGCCCATGGCTGCCACCTCCCTTTGTGAGAAACAGGAAGTGGGGAATTTTGTCAGCTCAGCTGCACCCTCTACACTAAATATTTATCTTGGAGTCCAGGTCAGAGCCCTAGAGAGTAAGAGAAGCTTGCTGCTGGTGAGGGGGTATGGCCAGGATTCCTGGAGTCGGAAGAGCTTCAGCTTCACCATCTTGGGAGAAGAAGGAAGAAAGTGAAAGTGATGTGGTCCTTCTTAGTCCCAAGGACCCTGACAGGTGGGAAAAATGCGTGTCTAAGAAAATGGGCACCTATTTTATCCCTGAGGGAGGGAAGAGGCTACCTGGGGTGGGTAAGCAGGTATCTAAGCTTCAGGGGAGGGGCAGTGCACTGCTGCCTCCCTCAAGAAGTGTCCCAGGGTTCCTCCCCTGCTCAGCTGTCCTCCACAGCAGTGCCCCCGCGATCCCCATCTCTCCACCTTCCTGGAGAGGCAGGTTCTTGGAAGGAGTCTTGAAGGTCATCTTGTTCAGCTCCCGCTCAGTGCAACAGTTGCCTTTACATAGATGCCCCAGGATTGGCAGACTCAGAACCCCTGGAATCATGTAAAAATGTTTCCTGGGAAGCCTTGGACTTGCTTCCCTATGATGTGTCCCCCAGTGGTCCCACTGCTGCTGGTGCGGCTGTCTGTGTCTACATGGCAGCCCCGCAGGCGCAAGAGGCCAGCAGGCCTATCTGAAGCTTCTCAACCCAAACATCTCCTCCAGCTTTCACGTGTGATGTCGTTTCAAGGCAACTGGGGAGAGCTCCTTTACCTGAAGGAGGGAGAAGATAAGACTAAAGCAGTAATGGTGGTAGGGACTGAAAATCGCTTAGTCTTTTCTCCACTCTCTTTCCTTCCAACCTTTGAGTTGAGTGGTGAGTTTGGAAAACACTCCAAAGCTCTTGGTGGCCTCTGGCACCAGTCTGACACCCAGTAGGAATGCAGGAGATGACATTAGTTTTCATAATTTAGCATTGATCACGCCCAGCTCCTATCTAAAGTTGATCAGCAACTATTTGCTGGTTGGTTGGTTTGGGGCTTGGGGATCCCTGAGCCAACCCAAGGGCTAGAAAGGATTCCAGAGTGTTTCCAGGCCGGTCAATGCTCCTTAGGCATTCCCACTTTCTGAAGCAGGCCCTGTGCCACACAGAGGCTTGGGGCAGAGACAGGGAGAGGGGATGGCCAGAGTGGATGGGGAGCAAGAGGGCCGGGGCTCTAGGGACTCAGCTCAGAGCAGCGAGAACAGCGGAAAAGCAGGCAGATCAAAACAAACACAATGTCCGGGAACACCAAGACCCTCCTAATCCCATCCCCGAAAAAGGGACCCCACCCTTATCCTCTCTAGGGGCGCGGCACGCCCAGGGGGGCCGCTCCCTTGGGCTGATTTCCTCCCTGTGCTTGCACGTGTGTGAGCGTCCCCACGTTTGCAGTGCACGCGCGCCTGTTTGTTTGCACACGCCCGGCCGCGCGCCGCCGCAGGCACACCCTCTCCCCCAGCGCCGACGGGCGGCGGGGCCTTCCCCTGGTCAACTCTGCCACTCTGCCCGCGGGGCGCCCTCATCTCGCTCCCGGCCTGTCCGCCTCCCCCGGCCTGCCCAGTTCACCACTCCTGCCCCCTTGTGCGGGCTCCGCCCGGTTCACCACTCCTGCCCCCTGTCCTGGCTCCGCCGCGCGGCCGCTCGCTTCCCACACTCTGGAAATGTCGCTGGAAACTCTGAGTGGCCCGCGTCGGGCCGCCCGACCCCTCCCAGACGCCAGCCCCGCGGTAGGGGCCGGGATGGCAGCTGGGAAACCAGAGAGAGCTCCCCGGGGACCCTCGGCGGCCCCTCCCGGCGCCGCCTGCGCCGGCCCGGCCTCCTCTGCAGGGGACCAGTGTCCCCGCGCGCGCCCCGACGGACGGAGGGCACTCGCACGCCCCTCCTCTCCGGCCCAGCCCAGGCCCGCAGTCCAGATCCGAGACCCAAACTCCGCCCGCCCCGCCGCGCGACTCTCACGGTCCTGCCTCCAGCGCGCGCCCCCTCGGCCTCCCTCTTCCCTTGTCGGGCGCCCAGCCTGGCCCGGCCCGTCCTGACCCGGTCACGAGGGCCGCGACGGCCCGCGCTTCTCCCTGCCCTTCTTCCCCGAGCGCCCGCGCCAGGCAGTAGCCGGGCAGGGATGCTCCTGCGCTCCCGGACGGCCTCGGGCCCAGCCACCTGCTCGCCGGGGAAGGTAGGTCTGGGGAAGGAGGGGCGGGGAGTAGGCGAGGCCGCGGGAGGGACCCATGCCCAACCCCAGGGGACCTCACCGAGTTCCTCCCCGGGGTCCGCGTCCCAAACTCTGGGAAGAGGTGGGAAGTACCCCCCATCAGCCCTCATACCAGAAAAAGCGAAATTCAAGAAACCTGTCCTTGTACACGTGGCCTTGTGGCTGAGAAATACCTGGGTAAGCTCTTAGGGCTAGGCCCCCAAGACCAGGGCAGTGTTCAGAGCAGGAAAGCCGGTGTCTGCCCCAGCAGAGCTGCCTCCCCTCTCCCGATCCCGGGACCTCGCCCGCTCCCGGGGCTGGCTGCCTGCGTGGAGGGGCGGCCTGAATTCTGGGAGGACCCCTCCGCTCTCTGCTACATGGGGGACCAGTCCCCAGATGCTGCCCTCTTCCTTGGAAGTCCTCCCTAAGTCTCCTGACCAGGCTGCCAAGAGAAGAACTCGGACCACCCTTCCCTGGAGGTTCCAGGGGGGTGTCACAGGGAGTAGGGTTGAGAAGGGGCAGATGGGGGCACCAAGGGTCAGCAACCTCTGACTACAGGTCGTGGGGGACCTCCTCCCCTGCCCATCCTCCAAGAGAGCAGTTCTCACTGAGCACGAGGTGGGCGGGGAGGTCAGGGAAGGAAGGCGCTGTCAGCTGATGGCCCAGGCAGCCGCTGCTGACCGGCAACTTGGCCCGAAGCAGTCAGCTGGGCAGGGAGGGGCGCTGCGAGGAGCCAGCCGGCTCCAGGCCTCCTGAGGTTCCACCCCACCCTGCCTCAACTTCCCCCCGCAAGGGGAGGTGGAGTGTGGGGACTGGGGTGTGTCTGCATGTTTTGCTTTGGTGGGAGTCCTAATTGGACCCAGCTGGGGAGCTGCTCCTCCTCCAGCCTCAGCCCTCCACTTCCCGCAGTCAGGCATGGGCACAGAAGAGCTGTGTCGCAGCAACTCGAATGTCAGAAGTCCCCACAAACTCAAACCAGAGACAGGGAGCTGCTCCCAGCCTTGGCTGCACCCTTGCCAGCCCTGGGCAGGAGCTGGGTCCAGGGGATGAGTCATCCCAGCCTTATTCTACCTTCATCCCCTCCGGGCCCCCCAAGTCTTACACTGCTCATATGACTGCACCTCCCACCACTGTTCAGCTGACACCCCTCTGTACCCACAACCCCCGTGCAGCTCATGTGGTCTGCCCAGTGGCCCCCCCAGAAGTCATATTCACAGCTCTGCACCCAGATTCCAACACACACATACACACACAGCTCCTCCCGATGCATTTGCAGCCCTCCCTGAGAGCCCCCAAGGGCCCCACAGGCACAGGCAAATCTGATTCCATCCAGTCCTGGGCAGTGGCAGAGCTTGGCTGTTTCTGGTCCAGTCCCGCAGCCAAGATGAGGAGGGATGGACACCATAGCACAGTGCTCTGGGTCAAAAAGCGCGCTTGGACACCCCAAACTGGGAGCCCCTTTTTGTCCTCTTGCACCCACCCTTGTGGGCTCCCCTCTTGCTCCTCCATTCCCTGGGTGCCTGGGGCTCCCTTCCCCTTCCCCAGCCTTGGCATGAGGCGGAAGAAGCTGGCTGCGGGCAGGCATGGTGCTGCCAGGGAAGACCCTCCACTCACAAAACAGCCTGGAGTGGCGGGAGACAGTGGAGCCAGGGTGCGCGTGTGTGTGCGTGCACACGTGGCCACATGCAGAACACCCCAGAGCACTCAACACCACCTCTCCGTGGGCATGAGCAGGTCCAGCTTTGCCCGCACCCACCGCTTCTCTCTACACCCACCCAGAGCCCTCTGAGTCCTCATTCTGTGAAGGAGGCCAAAGAAGGGCCCGATGCTCCCTGTGACCTCGCAAGAGTGGGTCTTCCTGCCTGGAAATGCCCCCGATGCTCCCCGTGGCCCTGTCGGGCTTAAGGCCCTGCTGGCTGCTTCCTAGAGGGCAGTGGGCGGGTGGCTGAGTAATCCCTTGTGCCTGCAGGCAAGAGATGCCCACACAGGGCCTGGGGGAGGCAGAGGGAACTGAAACAAAGTCCTGGCCCAGGCCCCCGCTCTGCCAGCTGCCCCAGTTCCCCTGTGCCTTCCCTCCGGGGGAGTGGGGAAGCCGGCTGCACCCGTGCAGGGAGAGCCCCACGGGCTCCTGGCCAGCCCCTCCCCTCCTCCTCACCCAAGCTCCCCCTCCCCCACTCCCACCCAGAGCTCCTGCCCTGGGCCTAACAAGTGGCCCATTGTACCTCTGGGAGCCGGCAGGCACGGGCAGCCTGCAGGCGGGTGCCTGGTGTGGCCTGTTTCCTGGGTCCTTGAGCTCGCACCCAGCTGATCCTGACCCCCTCCCACAGCCGGCCCCTCCTCCCCTATCCCAGGGTCGAGCCAAGAGGGCATGGGCAGCCCAGCCTAGCAGGGCTTTCCCTTCCTTCCTCCTCCCCCACAGAGGACACGCAGAGGAGCAGCTGGCTCGCCCTGAGTCCTCCAACCTTAACCCAAGCATGCAGGGCCCACCCCGAAGCCTCCCTGCTGGGCTCAGCCTGGACGACTTCATCCCTGGCCACCTCCAGTCCCACATAGGGTCTTCCTCCCGGGGGACACGGGTGAGTGAGTCAGTAGGAAGGAGGGTGTCTTGGGGGTCCGGAGTTGGTTGGGACGCTAGCTAGTCAGGTGGGGGCAAGAGGATGAAAGGGATGGAGGGAGGGCTGAAGAGAGTTCTGGGGGGCCTCGCTGGTTTCCCACAAAATCGTCAGGTGGGCCTGGGACCATCATCGAGGGGTATGGGCTGTGCCTAGTAGCCATCCCTCCCTCCCACCCTGCTGGGCCCTGAGCTGCCGCTCCTGGCCCCTCCCCGCAGGTGCCCGTGATCCGGAATGGTGGCTCCAACACCCTTAATTTCCAGTTCCACGACCCCGCGCCCAGGACTGTGTGCAATGGCTGCTACACACCAAGACAAGATGCTTCCCGGCACCCGGGTAGGTCTGCTCAGGAGCCTCATGCCGGAGATGGAGGGTCAGGGCCCTGCCATCTGGCACTGCCTTGTGTGGAGCGAGAGGGGCAGCAGCGGGAGATGGGGTTCTTGAGGCCATGAGGAGGTTCCTCAGAGGCCTCTGGGCTCACTGCGAGCCTCTCCCTGCGGAGCCTGCTGACTCTGCAAGAGACATCATCCGCCTGGGGAGAGCAGGCTGACGCATCCCCTCCCCTGCCCTCCAGCCCGGTGCCAGGGAAAGGAAGTGTGCAGGAGCCCTGGGTGCCGGGGAACCTCCTGCAGGGACTGGGGATGGAAGGGTGGAGGTGATGTGGGTATCTGTTGGCTTGGGAAGGGGTGGAGACTGTCCCATTCAGGCCCAACAGGCTGCCCAGCAGGAGTTTAGAGAGGCAGCTCTAGGTCCCGGTCCAGAGGTCCTGGGAACTCCTGGGTGCAGGCCAGCCCTGAATATGTCTCTCCTAAAGTGACATCTTTTATGCGGCATTCCCATGAGACAGGTGCTGTGTGAAGGAATTTATTCATTTAACAAACGAGAATCCAGCCTGGGCAACATAGCAAGACCCTGTCTCTGTCAGTCTGGGTGACACAGCAAGACCTTGTCACTTAAAACACACACACACTGGGAGGCCGAGGTGGGTGGATCACCTGAGGTCAGGAGTTCAAGACCAGCCTGGCCAACATGGCGGAACCCCGTCTCTACTAAAAATACAAAAATTAGCTGGGTGTGGTGGTGGGCGCCTGAAATCCCAGCTATTTGGGAAGTTGAGGCAGTAGAATCGCTTGAACCTGGGAGGTGGAGGTTGCAGTGAGCTAGGATCATGCCACTGAATTCCAGCCTGGGCAACAAGAGCAAAACTCAGTCTCAAAAATAAACAAACAAACAAAAAACACCCACAAAATTATGGAACACCCAGAGCATGCTGGCCACTGTAAAAATCCTTTACAAGGCTCACCTCATTTAACCCCTTGATATCCTGACAAAGTAGGGGTGATGATGACTGATAGCATCCCAGTAAGGAATCCCGCCCACAGAGACGCTCAGCCACCGAGGCTGAGCTGCAATTCACACCCTTGTCCATCTGGTCTCAAAGCCTTTATGCTGCTGCTCTAGCTACTTAGAGGCTAACAGTTATGGGTAAGTTGAGGACTCAGTCACAACCATGTCTAGGGAATGGGTTTCTGACCTTCACTGAGAGCCTCTCGACTGTGGGTCAGGCACTGTGCTGGGTACAGTCACACACACTAGTTGTCACTGAATCCTTGTCACGATGACCCTTGTTTTACAGAAGTGGAAACTGAGACACTGCGAGGGTGACTGATGTGCCCCAGGCCTTGGCAGCCAGTAGGTGGCAGAGCTGGGGTCTGAATTCAAGTCTGTCCCCTCCAAGCCCAGCATCTTTACTGCCACACCCCAGCTGGGATGTCCCCTGCATTCTCTACAAGTAATCATTTCCAGACCTTATTCTGAAAGCACTTAGGATAGTCCCAGGAAAGAAGGATGGGGGTAGGGCCAGGCACAGCATTCTCAAAATCCATTTAGATTCACTTAAACAAACAAACTGAGTCATCCACTCAAACAAACTAGGCGATGTTGAAACTTTGAACCCACAGAGATCCATGCTCTGAGGAGCTAAGGGACACACAGGTTCAGGTGGAGACCACTGCCTTTCACTAATGCTCTCCTGCACGCACCCGACAGACCCCACGTGTTATCAGACCTGGCCAGGCCCTGGGAGCAAGCCCACTGCAAGCACAAAGATCCCTGCCTCCCAGCATGCCCAGAACTGGTCAGCCACGTGGACCAAGGACAGCAAGCGTCGGGACAAGCGCTGGGTCAAGTACGAGGGAATCGGGCCCGTGGATGAGAGCGGAATGCCTATTGCCCCAAGATCCGTGAGTCCAGGGCTGGGGGCCACAGAAAGATGGGGCCCAGGGATCTACAGGAAGCTTGACTTGTGTGCATTAAAGTGGGGGTGGGGCAATAAAGGCCACACCCAAACCATCCCAGACTAAGCAGGGGTTCAACCGTGGTGGGGTTCAGGGGCCGTAAACCTCATGAAGCTACGGACACCCTTGTGTGCCTGAGTTGCTCAAGTGGTTTGTGCAGGGTACAGATCTAGAACTCCCATCAGTGTCTCAAAGGTAGAGAACCCCTGCTGTAAGGGCTGAGGCTGCGGGGCACCCTCTCTTAGTTTCATATCCCCAGGGCCTGTCACCACACTCATGAAATGGTTGCTGAATGAATGACTGACTGGCCGAATGAATGAGTCTTGTCTGAGAAGATCTCTCACTGTGGCAAGAGTGGAAGGATCCGGGGGTCCAGTTAGGACTGGGGATACCCTGCCCTTTTCCATCCACTTTCATGTCTTGACTCAGCTCCATTTTCTTTCTTTCTTTTTTTTCTGAGACGGAGTCTTGCTCTGTTGCCCAGGCTGGAGTGCAGTGGTGCAATCTCGGCTCACTGCAAGCTCCGCCTCCCTGGTTCACACCATTCTCCTGCCTCAGCCTCCCAAGTAGCTGGGACTACAGGCGCACACCACCATGCCCGGCTAATTTTTTGTATTTTTAGTAGAGACGGGGTTTCACCGTGTTAGCCAGGATGGTCTCAATCTTCTGACCTTGTGATCCACCCATCACCGCCTCCCAAAGTGCTGGGATTACAAGCGTGAGCCACCGCGCCCAGCGGCCAGCTCCATTTTCTCATCCGGAAATTGGAGATGGTAACATACCCTTCCTGCCTCCCAGGGCTGTTTTGAGGCTTGAATGAAGCAGGTGATGCGAAACACGCATCTCACTCCTACATTATTACTATCAATTTTGGCCCAGGTGCAGTGACTCACGCCTGTAATTCCAGCACTTTGGGAGGTCAAGGCAGGAGGATCACTTGAAATCAAAAGTTCCAGACCAGCCTGGGCAACATAGTGAGACCCTGTCTCTAAAAAAATAAAATAAAATTAGTTAGGCAAGATGGTGCACACCTGTAGTTCCAGCTACTCAGGAGGCTGAGGCAGGACGATTGTTTGAGTCTAGGAATTCGAGGCTGCAGTGAGCTATGATCATGCCACTTCACTCCAGCCTGTGTGACACAGTGAGACCCTGTCTCCCCCCAAAAGAAAAATGTTCTTTGTAGAAACACTAGACATAAAGAAAAGCAAAGAGAAAAACTGTAAATTGCCCAAATCTCATAACATCATTATTGCATACACTTCGATGGACTTCTTGCCATGTATCTTACTTATATAGGATGTGTTACATGAAGCTATTGTTATTAAAGAGATCACAAGAGAAGTATTCCCCAGCTCACCTATCGGGGGTTCAGGGGTGGCCAGAGAAAGGACTCACTAGGGAGTCCTTTTGGGTGGCTTGCTATTGGGAGGGTGAATAAGCAGGGACAACTGACTTTGCATTTTCTGATCCCAGAGTGTTGACAGCCCCAGAGACTGGTACCGGAGAATGTTCCAGCAGATTCACCGGAAAATGCCAGGTAAGATACCCTTCCAGGGTCCTCACCCTGCCAAAGTGGATTCTGGCCCCTGGGGCTTGGAGAGACAGGGAAAGAAAAGGGGACTTAGCTGCTCAACGGGTTCTTCTCCACCTCCCCTGAGGCTCTAATGAGTAGTCCTGAAAATAGGCTATCCCCTCCCTGTACTCGGAGCCAGCAGTGGTCTCTAGAGCATCCCCAGAAGGACATTGACCAGCCACTGTCCCCCAGTGTCCTCTGAGGGGACTGAGAAACCATTCCTTTCCTAAAGTCCCTCTCTGATTTCCCTGCCAGGCTGGAATGCCACTGTTAGTGGTCATTCCCTTACTGGAAGCATTGTTTTCTTCCACAACTCAAAATGCAGCCAACCCCGGAGGTGCCTAGGAGCTGGCTCTGAGGTCACCCATCCATTCAGCGAGTCCTTGACCATCTATTGAGCATGGACCACGTGCTGAGCACTACTGTAGGTGCCAAAGATCAAAGGAAGTCACACATTAAACACACACCTTTGACATGGCAGATGGTGGAAAGGGCTAGGGAAAAATAAAGCCAGACCAGGGGAGTGCCCCAAGCAGGGAGGCTGCTGCTTCACCCAGGAGGGGCCAGGAAGGCACTTGTAAGTGGCGTTTGATCAGACCACAGAGGGAGTGAAGGAGTCAGCCTGGCAGAGCTGGGGGGAGGATTCCAGCAAAGGGGGCTCCGAAGACCCAGAGGTAGAAGCATGTTCTGGACTGGCAAGGAGAGCCTGGCCTGGAGCGAGGAGCATGTGGTGGGAGATGGAGTCAGAGGGGTGGTGGGGTCAGGGCATGTGGGGCCTCGTGGGCCATTACAAGGACTTCAGCTTTTACGGTGCAAATGAGGAGGAGCCACTGAACGGAAGAGTGCCATGCTTTGACAGGTAATGGCTGAAAAGGTTGTGCCTGGCTGAGGGTGGGGAAGGAGTGGTGGAAGCAGGGTGACCAGTTCCCTTGCCTGGTAAGGGCTAGGGAGAAAAAGCCGCCTTTACAACTTTGCTTTAATCCAGGCGAGAGGTAATCGTGTGTTAGACCAGGGTGGTAGCAGTGGCCCTGGTGGGACAGGGTGAGACTATGAATACATTGCAGTCACTGGAATTTGCTGATGGATTGGACGTGGCATGGAAGAGACAGTCAAGGATGGTTTAAACCTCAGCAAGTTGAAGATGGGAGTTGCCATTTGTCAAAACAGGAAAGACTATAGGAGGAGCAGGTTTAAGAGGCATTCACAGGCTGGGTGCAGTGGCTCACGCCTGTAATCCTAGCACTTTGGGAGGCTGAGGTGGGTGGATTGCCTGAGCTCAGGAGTTCGAGACCAGCCTGAGCAACACAGTGAAACCCTGTCTCTACTAAAAAAAAACACAAAAAATTAGCCGGGTGTGGCGGCATGCACCTGTAATCCCAGCTACTCGGGAAGCTGAGGCAGGAGAATTGCTTGAACCTGGGAGGCGGAGGTTGCAGTGAGCTGAGACCATGCCACTTCACTCCAGCCTGGGCGACAGGGCAAGACTCTGTCTCAAAAAAAAGAAAAAAAGAAAAGAGGTGTTCAGTTTTAGACACGTGTTCCCTCTGAGTGAAGAGATGGAGTGAGCAGATGAATATCCAAGTCTAGTTCATGGGACAAGGTCTAAAACTGCAGATGGAAATACCTGGGACTCACTCAAAAGAGATTTTGGGACCAGCCTGGCCAACATGGTGAAACCCTGTCTCTATCAAAAATACCAAAATTAGCTGGGAGTGGTGGTGTGCACCTGTAATCCTAGCCACTCCGGAGGCTAAGGCAGGATAATTGCTTGAAGGCAGAGGTTGCAGTGAGCTGAGATCACCCCACAGCACTCCAGCATGGGCGACTCAGTCTCAAAAAAAAAAAAGAGACATTTTGATTTAAAGTTTCCCCAGTAATTCTAGTGTGCAGCCAAGATTGTGAATCATGGGAATAGATGGTGTTTTAAAAGCCTTAAGACTAGCTGGGTGCGGTGGCACACAGCTATGGTCTCAGCTATTTGGGAGCCCAGGAATTCAAGTCCACCTTGGGCAACATACCATGATCCCATCTCTGGAAAACAACAATCCATAAGTCTAGACAAGATCACCTAGGGAGATAGACAAACAGACCCAGGACTGAGCCCCCACGCACCTGGATGCTTAGAAGTTTGAGAAATGAGGCGGAACCAATAAGGCAACTGAGAAGGTAGAGCCAGGGAGGTAGGAGGAAAAGGGAGAGATCTCCCTGGGGCCAAGTGGAAAGGGAATTCCAAAAGGAGAATGTGACCGGTGGTGACAAATGCAGCTGATGGGTTGAGTAAGATGAAGACAGAATTGACCGTCAGATTTGGCAATGTGGAGGTCACCAGCATCCTTGATAAGAGTGGGTAGATGCGCAGTGGTGAGCAGAAGTCTGTTTAGGGAGTCGGGGAGTAGGGGGATTGGAGATGGTGGAGGTCTTTATGCTCACTGATTACAGTTTGCTATGGGGGAAAGCAGACAAATCCAGGAGTCGTAGGAGGGTGTGGGGTCCAGTGAGGGGTGATGTGGCTGGCGTTTAGGCAGGCGCCGTTGTAGCGTGTGTGTGTGCGCGCGCGCGCGCCGTGGGGAGCAGTGGGTCAGTAGCTCTTCCCAGGAAGAAATTCCCAGGCATCTTGAGGAGCTAGGAGTGGGTCTGGGCAAATGGGGAAGGAAAGCGTTTGGAAGAGGGTGCAAGTCGAGTTTCCGCAGCCTGAGTGGCGAGGGCAAGTCCACAAAGGTCGGGAGAGGGTGTGTGTGGGAACGGGGAGGGAGGAGCAGGAGGGCTTGGGCAAGGCGGCTGCCCTCTTGGCTCGCTTAGGCCCTAAGCCTGCCAGAGGCATTTCAAGCCCTCCAGAGAGCTGCCCTCCTAATTCCTTCCCTCCCTTGGGACATTCTTCAGGCCCTGACTCAGCCCTCAGCCCCCTGCTCTAGGGATGTTGGGAGCGGCTGTGGTTGCCTCCCAGGGCACCCTGCCCTCGCTTTCTGCCCCGTCCCATGACCTGGTCCCTTTTGCTCCTGCAGACCTGCAGCTGGACTGGACCTTCGAGGAGCCACCCAGAGGTGAGTGGATGCGGGCTCACCTGCCTGCCATAGCTCTGCACCTGTGTCCGTCCCTCCCTGCGGCTGGGACCTGCAGCCCCGCCTGGCTTTGGGGCTCTCCAGTTGGCTCCGTTCAACTTGAGAGGTTTTTATAACTCATTTCCAGAGCACTTCAAATCCCCCGGTAGGTGGTAGTTAACAGCCTCAGCTTGTACCGGGAATGGGCGCCTTGCCACTCCTTGGCCGGGATTTCTCTGGGCCTCCCTTTCCTCATCTATAAGATGAGATCATCACCTACCGGAGTTGCTTTGAAGATTTAGTAAACGTTGTAAAGTTCTGGGGGCAACGCCCACGTTCAGTGTCCCTGAGCACCAACCACTCTGTCCCCACCATCCACCCAGGAGCAAGGGGGTGGTGCTGAAACCCTAAATGATCACCCAGGCACCCTCAGCCCCAGTTCCGGCCTGTCTCCTCCCACCTTCAATGGTTTCCTCGTGTACCTCCTCTGCAGACCCCAGGCATCTAGGAGCCCAGCAAAGACCTGCCCACAGGCCCGGCCCGGCAGCATCTTCCAGTGGGTGAGCATAGTGGAGAGGGGCCGAGGGCTGCGGAGAGGCGCGGCCCATGAGCCCCCATGGGATGGGCGCCCCCTCGTGGCCACAGCCGGCACACCCTCGGAGCAGCAGCCGGCAGTGGGGTCTGACTTTCCTATCCCTCTGGGCTCTGTCCCATCTCTGGGTCTCCACCACCCCCATAGACTCTCTTCCCTACAGGGCCAAAGGGGATGGGAGGGCAGGAGTGGACCTGGCACCCGCTCCTGGTCAGGAACACCTGTGATGCGTTTGTGGTCAGCAGCAGGAACTCTTGCCCCAAAGATCCCACCGGTCTTGTGAGACAGGGAGCCGGGCGGCCAGGGCAGCCATGGACAGAACTGTTGAGGGGAACTTGGACCTGGGGCTGTCCTCTTTGAAACCTGAGAGAAAACAGGGGATATGGAAGTACCCAAGTTCCTGCCTGATAGCACAGAGAGAGGAGCCCCTTGGAGGGATAAGGATGACATTCCTTTCCTCTGTACAAACCACAGGCCCCGCCGGGCTGCTGGAGCCCTGGCGGGGTCAGCACCACCGTGGGAATCAGGATCTTTGCTCTCAGAGTTAAATCCTTGAGTTTCTTATTCCCTTGCAGGGAGGGACTCATCTCATTAGCATGGCTGAAACTGGCCTGTGGCTCTGGGCAACGCTGATAAGGTTCAGAGGCAAAGGGCTCAAGATTTGGACACTGAGTTCTGGGTTTAAGCCTGTGCACTGCCACTAGCCATGTGACTGTGGGCACCTCACTCAATCTGAGCCTCTGTGTCCCCATCTTTTAAGTGATGATGCCCAGAGGGTTCAGTGTGATCATGTATGTATCATGCATCATGTTTTGCACATAGCAAGTCTGCACAACATTAGTAATATACAGGCTTAATTACGATTACAGCTTCCTTAGGTTAGGAATGACACATTCCATTCTCACTGTCACTTTTATTATTACCAAAATCAGAATGGAGTCATAATTACAGCCAACAAATCCCAACCCTTGGTCAGACATTGCATTATTTGATAAGCCGGATGCAGCGGTTCCTCTCGGTGGAAACTTTCAAACAGAGACTGGAACGTTCCATGTAAGCCAGCCAGGAATGGGGCCCTGGAGGGGAGCTAAGGCAGATGTGACCATGCTGTACTGCAGTGGCTGGGGTAGTCTCACAGATGGAGTCACTGAATCCAGCACCCTCATGGAACTAGGCCCAGCGAGCAGAAATAACTTGCCCAGAGCTGCAGGGCAGGGCTGCCTCTGGCTTTCCTTGCCGGTGGGTGTACGATCACTCAGCCACAGCACCCAGAAAGACCAGCTTCTTCAAAGCTGAACAGATGCACATAGCCACAGTCATGGGGCCAGACCAAACACATGTGCAGGATTTAGCAAAATGGCCCGCAGGAGAGGGTCGGGCCACACCTGGAGCAAATATATGTGTGAGGCCTTCTCCCGGGCACCTCACACATGTTCTTTCACCAAATCATTTCTATATTACAGGTTCTGAGCCTGAGGCTCTGAGGGATCAGTAACTTGTTCAAAGGTCACACATCCACTAAACAATGGAGCTAGAAGTTAAGCTTGGAGCTCACACACTTCCACAGTTTAGCCTTGCTTCCAGAGTAAGGGCAGGGCAGTCAGAGGCAGAGCAGACCCCACAGCAGGGACAAGGGCAGGGCGAGAGGGCTGTGTGCTGGCTTCTGCCTCAGTCTCCCTAAAAGGAAGCTGAAGAGATGTCCTTCCCTTTCTTCAGAAGAAGCTGGGACCACTCTGAAGAGTTACCTAGAAGCACCTTCAGCTACAGACCTGGAGCGTTCTCCACTGTGCTGCAGCCCCCAAATCAGGTAGCCCACCCAGCGTGTTCCCTGGTCAGCCCCGGCTGTATGCTGTATGGCCAAGCCCCTGTGCCACGATGTCCTTTCAGCTGGAATCCCTTGGAGGACACCGTGGGCCCACGGGAAGGGCAGGGGCCTGCAAGCCTGCATTTTGAGCCTGGCCAGTGTCCCAGTAGCCCTCTTCACAAGCTGACGCCCACCCACCTCCACGCAGGTGCCCAGACGCCGAGAAAAAGGAGACAATGTCTGGACAGAAGAGTCCTGGAACCAGTTTCTGCAGGAACTAGAGACTGGGCAGAGGGTGAGTGCTGGCTGGCTCTCGGGGTGTGCACGCACCCTCAGCTGATACATTTTGGAAAGTGAGCTCACCTGCTCTGACACACCCTTTCTACCCTTCAGCCCAAGAAACCGCTGGTGGACGACCCTGGTGAGAAGCCCTCCCAGCCCATTGAGGTGAGTGCTGCAGGGTGCTGGGGACAGCAGCCTGATAAACCAGGGAGTTTAGGGTTTTCCCCGCCCCAGTGACCATGGGCATAGGCCACCAACTAAGAGCTCTCTCTCCAGTCCCACATGGTTTATTTCTGTAATGCCAGCACTCGGGACAGTGGCTGGCATACAGGAGGCGCTCAGTAAACATGTGTTAAATAAATGTGTTGGCCAAAGCAGGAGCAGAGAAGGGAGTGGTCAGTGTGCACTGGGATTATCAGGAAATATTCTTGGAGGTGGAGCTGGACCCTTGAGAAGCTCTGAGGGCCTGATCTGGCAGAGACCCATAGCAGAGGCTGGCAGGAAGCAGCATGAGGGTGGGGGCGTCAGTCCCTGGGGTGGCGGGGGAACCTGGATGGGCACAGCGAAGCCAGGCCTTGGAGGGCGGGAGAAGATGGGAGAGGAAATGGGGAGCCCCACTGGTGCTGGAAGAGAGACATAACTTGGCAGAAACTGGTAGAGCTGCGGAATGGCGGGATCAGGAAGCGCGAAGGCACTCCGGGGGCTTGCAGGGCAGGTGAGAGGCCGCGGCGGGGATGCCCTCTTGGCACCCCGGGCCACACCTCCCGGCAGGAGCCCGGCCCGTGCGCTGAGGCCTGTCCTTACGCCGGCCCAGTGCGCCGGCCTGGCTTCTCACAGCCGACCTTTGACCGCTGCCCCCACCCCCACCGTGCGCTGCCCCTCACTGCCCAGCCTCTCCCCGCCCCCAGGTGCTGCTGGAGAGAGAGCTGGCCAAGCTGAGTGCCGAGCTGGACAAGGACCTACGGGCAATTGAGACCCGACTGCCGTCCCCCAAGGTGCCAGCCCCCTGGGTTCACCCGCGGGGCACGCCGTTGACCGCACGGTTGGGGCGGGCCAGGAGCCTTGGCGGCTGGGCTGGGCGGAGGACGGGCAGACGAGGTCAGGCCTCCGGCGGCGCGCACAGGCCTCGGGCCCTCCTGGGCGCTGGCGGGCTCGCTCCTCCATAAATAAAATACAGGGCGTCGACTTTCGCAAGTGACCCCGAGGAGCCTTTCTAAGCGGACTCCACGTCAGCCGTCGCGACGCCCGGGCTCCCGCCCCGTCCCGCCCCCGGGCCGCAGCCTTGGGGACCCCCGCCCCTTCCCCTAGTTCCCGCCCCGCTCCCGGATCGGCCGCGCGGGCGCCTCTAGGACCCCGCGTCCCGCCCGCTCTCCTCCCCTCCCGAGCCGCGAACTTTTCCGGAGGCGACGGCCTCGACTGCCGCTGGGTCCCGGGGTCGCGGGCCCTGATTGCGCCGTCTCTCCGCACAGAGCTCGCCTGCGCCCCGGCGGGCCCCGGAGCAGCGGCCCCCGGCCGGGTGAGTGGGAGACGCGGGAGGAGGAAGGGGGCTGTCCCGGGCCGGGCGGGAGGGAACGTGGCGCGGCCGGGCGGGGCGGACGGGGCGATCGCGGGGCCCAGTCGGGGGAGGAGGGAACCGCAGAGCCCAGTGTCCGGGAGGGACCGCAGCGCCACTCTCTGCGGGACGCCGTTCCCGCGCCACCGAGGGCAGCTAACCCCGAGCGGAGGGCGAGGGTCGCTGCCGCCGGGGACGCGGCGCGGTTGGGGCGGCCCCGCCACGGCCCAGGCACTCCCGCTGGGCCCTGCCGGGCCTCACCCTTCCCGGCGCAGCGACTCGGGAAGTAGGACATCCTGTGGAGAGCCCAGGTCCCGGGAGACGCCCTGGGAGGAGGCGGCAGGGATAGGGGCGATGGGGGTCAGAGCCGTCTAGGGGTGACCAAGGTGGGACGCGGAGCCCCAGGCTGGAGGCTCAGTCTCTGTGCCCCGTGCAGCCCGGCCTCAGCCTGGAGCTCCAGCTCCCCGAATGCACCTTACCTGGGTTCCGCCCGGTCCCTGAGCCCCCGCAGAATGGCTGATGGAGGAAGCCCCTTTCTAGGTCGGAGGGACTTTGTCTACCCTTCCTCAACCCGAGGTAAGGACCCAGCCGTGCTCTGTTTCTCACGGAGATGCCCACCCACCAGGCATGCGGGTGCCCCAGGGGTGGCAGGTCACAGAGCCCCTTGCTTCTGCCAGTGCCTGCCCTAGGTGGGGGTGCAACCCCATTCCAACCCCATCCACCAGGTTGGCCTCCCCAAACTGAGGTTGTGCTTCTCCACAGACCCTAGTGCCTCTGACGGAGGGATCAGCCCAGCCAGGAGGGAAGAGAAGAAGGTAAGGAGGGGACCAGGGTGTGGGGGACCTGGAGTGGTCCCAAGGCTACCATCCTGGATCTGCCAGCAGCCCAACTGAGGTAGCCCACTCTGTCCTCTCCCCTGCCTAGAGGAAGGCCGCCAGGCTCAAGTTTGACTTCCAGGCGCAGTCTCCCAAGTAAGTGCCCTCCTCCCCCTCCCCTTCCACCGAGGCAGTCTCTGCCATCCCAGAGCGGGATGGGGAGGGGGACTGGGCTGCAGTGGGCATCCCTAATTGGTGAGAGGAATAAGGTGTACTGGGGAGGGTCTGAGGGGAAGGAGGCTTGGGAGGGCCTCAGCTTACCATGCGGTCCTCGCCTGCAGGGAGCTGACTCTGCAGAAGGGTGACATTGTCTACATCCACAAGGAGGTGGACAAGAACTGGCTGGAGGGAGAGCACCATGGCCGCCTAGGCATCTTCCCTGCTAATTATGTGGAGGTGAGCAGGAGGGACAAGAGCAAGCAGGGGTTGGGAGAGACTTGGGTTTCCTAAGGCAAAAAACTGTGAGGGGCTGGGCCATGTCTCAGGATTGTCCTTGGCCCCCACAGGGCCTGGCCCAGTGCTCTGCATGACCCCAGGAAATGTTTGCTAAATGAGGGTGGAGCCCAGCCAAGGGGAGGACCCAGCAGCCAGCTCCTCAACCCTCCGTGTCCCAGACTTTCACCATTCAGATCCATCTTTCTAAAGCTATCTTTGGGAATCACCCTAATGGCAACTAGCCAGAGTGGGAAGTATGCAACAGTTTATAAATCACATATACACACATAACCTCTTTCAGGTGTCTTACTGCCCTGGTTCCTCTCACTTCCCAGAGAGTGATAGTTTATCTCTGTTTTACAGATGGGGATGCCAAGGTTCAGTGACAAGTTATTAGGTAAAAGATCTAGAATCTGAATCCAGGTCTTTTGATTCCAGAGACAGGTTCTGGGCTTGACAGATAAAGGGCAATAGGTGACTTTTAAGATATGTCAAGTTATCCGAATTACTGGCATAAAGATGTTCATTATAGTCTCTTACTATTGTTTTAATGTCAGTAAAATAGGTAGTGATGTCTTCTCTTTCTTTCGTTTTGTTTTGTTTTGTTTTGTTTTGTTTTGAGAGATGGAGTCTTGCTCTCGCCCAGGCTGGAGTGCAGTGGCGGGATCTTGGTGCACTGCAACCTCCACCTCCTGGGTTCAAGTGATTCTCCTGACTCAACTTCCCAAGTAGCTGGGACTACAGGCGTGCGCCACCATGCCCAGATAATTTTTGTAATTTTTTTTAGTAGAGATGAGATTTCACTATATGTTGGCCAGGCTGGTCTCGAACTCCTGACATCAGGTGTTCCACCCACCTCAGCCTCCCAAAGTGCTGGGATTACAGGCGTGAGCCACCGCGCCTGGCCGATATGTTCTCTTCCATTCCTGATGTTGGCAATTTGTGTCTTCTCTTATTCTGGCTAGAGCTTTATTAATTTACTTGACCTATGGATTTTATTGATGTTTTTCTCTTGTTTTTGTTTTCAATTTCATTGATTTCTGCTTCTTTATTATTTCCTTATTTTTGCTTGCTTTAGGTTTAATTTGTTCTAAGTTTCTTAGGGTGAAAGTTTAGACTATTCATTTGAAACTTATTTTTCCCTAATGTAAGAATGTCAATGCTATACATTTCCCTCAGAATGCTGCTTTAGCTGCGTCTCACACGTTAATTTTTCGTCAACTCTGACTGTTTTCTGATCTCCTTCGCGACTTCCTCTTTGACCCATGGGTTGGGTTGTTGTTTAATTCAGGCTCTTGATTTGATAGATATCATTAGGCCTCCCTTGCCTGCCCAATAATCCACTTGGTCCTGAAATTTCACAAAGTATATACAGTATTTCACTCCACCAGTCATTTCTGTCTTTGTGTGAAATAGTTGATTGGCTGCTTGATTTTTATGGGCAGAGTGAAGCAAAGAGAACATGAGGATTCTGGGCTCCTGCTGGGGTAGATGGGGAGGAGGAACCAAGACACTGGAACCCAGGGACACCCGGTTCTCGGCAGTGAGAAAAGGGTGAATCCTCAGTTTTGGAACAGTTCCCCAAGTTCTCCCTGCTGCTTGGAATGCCTCATTTTCTTCTGTGGTCCAACTTAAACTCTCTAATCGGACTGGCTTCCATCTTTTCTCTTGGCGTTTTTCATTCAGTAATGCCCACTCCACATACCCCTATGGAAAATGTTTCTTCCGGGGAGCCTTCCCAGACTCCTCCCCATCCTCCAGCTCCCCTTGGCTGTGGCCACCCCTGGCTGCCCTTAGGGCTTGTTTCTGGTGTTTATATCTTTCTCTGCCAAGGGGCAGGCCCACCTTCTCTTTGCTGTCTCACAGGAACCCCCAGTCTGTGCTATGTTGATGCCCAGGCCAAATCTTTCTCATGACCTTTCTTCATGCAGGTGCTGCCTGCAGATGAGATCCCCAAGCCCATCAAGCCCCCGACCTACCAGGTGCTGGAGTATGGAGAGGCTGTGGCCCAGTACACCTTCAAGGGGGACCTGGAGGTGGAGCTGTCCTTCCGCAAGGTGGGCCAGGCAGGAGATGGTGGGGTGGGTCGGGGCAGGCGAAGATGTAGGTAAATATGTGCACTAAAAACACATTTTTTTTTTCTTTTTGAGACAGAGTTTCGCTCTGTCGCCAGGCTGGAGTGCAGTGGTGCCATCTCGGCTCACTGCAACCTCTGCCTCCCGGGTTCAAGCAGTTCTCCCGCCTCAGCCTCCAGAGTAGCTGGGACTACAGATGCCCGCCACCACGCCCGGCTAATTTTTGTATTTTTAGTAGAGATGGGGTTTCACCGTGTTGGCCAGGATGGTCTCAATCTCTTGACCTCATAATTCACCCACCTTGGCCTCCTAAAGTGTTGGGATTACAGGAGTGAGCCATCGCACCTGGCCTAAAAACACTTTTTTAAAAAAGAGTCTGATGTAGCTAGCTTCACCTAGGATTTCAAAATTTTCCCCAGTCTCTTTCATTATGCTTCCTTTAGTGTAGTCTTTTTTTTTTTTTTTTCCTGCATTTTTTTGAGACAGAGTCTCACTGTGTTGCCCAGGATGGCTTTGAACTCCTGGGCTCAGGCGATCCTCCTGCCCCTGCCCCTATCCCAGCCTCCCAAGTAATTTTGGTCCATTTTTAAAAGATGATCATAAACTTCTAGAGTTATATATATTTTCAACTGCAGGTTGCAGGGGATCATACTCAGCATTTTTAAAGGTATAGACAGAAACGTTAGCGTGCGTCGTGGGCAGGAAGAGCACTTTGTCTTACTGTAGGCAGTTCTGTGTATGCACATATGTATGTATTCTGGGCTGTTACTAAAATGTTTTTAACTGTGGACTGTGGTGAAACAAGTTTGAAAAATGCTGTTCTAGAAAGCAGAGAAGTGGTCTGCCTTTGGTTGATTTGGGGAGCAGCGACTATGCTTCCAAAATCAGCCAAAGACAGACCATAGTGAATGCTACCCAGAAGAGCTGGCCCCAGGGACAGAGGGGGAAGAAGGTGGCTGGATGGAGAGAGGTAGGGGCAGGAGAGAGCAGGGGAAGGCAAGGGCTGGAGGCCACCCTCCCAGGGAGTGGTTCTACCTAATGTCAGCCAGCCTATGGCCTTGAGGACTCCCTGCCTGTCCTGGGGAGTGTGTTTTTGACACACTCATGACAGGGTCCCCCAGCGTGAGGCAGGAACAGGACCCAGGCAGGGCAGTAGTGGTAGCACCTGTCCCTTGTGCCTAAGGGGTGAATTGTTGATCTCATTCACACCTCATAGTGACACTATGGTTATTTTCACTTAACGGAGGAGAAAACAAGGCTCAGAGAGACAGAGCAGCCTGCCTGAGGCCGCACAGCTTGACCTGGCGGAGCTGGGTTTGGATCTGCATTATTAGCCACGGGCTCACCTGTGATTGGAGCTCTGGGGAGGGACCTTGCTATGCATCCCAGATAAGGCACCGTGGGTGCATGGCACCAGGAAAGCCCCACAGACACTGACTTCCCCCCTCAGGGAGAGCACATCTGCCTGATCCGCAAGGTGAATGAGAACTGGTACGAGGGGCGCATCACGGGCACGGGGCGCCAAGGCATATTCCCCGCCAGCTACGTACAGGTGTCTCGTGAACCCCGGCTCCGGCTCTGTGACGACGGCCCCCAGCTCCCCGCATCTCCCCGCCTGACCGCTGCCGCCCGTTCAGCCCATCACCCCAGCTCCCCCTCAGCCCCGCGCAGCCCAGCTGACCCCACCGACTGGGGAGGGCAGACCTCCCCCCGCCGCACTGGCTTCTCCTTCTCCACCCAGGAGCCTAGACCCCAGACCCAGGTGAGGTAGCCTGCCTCCACCGGAGAGCCCACCTCCTCCCCACCCCCATCCCCCAGCCCCGTGACTTGTCCACACTTGGGAATCCTTCCCAGACAGCCCTGGGACAGACGAGTGGGGTGACAGGGCAGAAGCTAGTATGGCAGCTCCACCCTGGCCTGGGGAACCTCAGCCTACCGAGCTCTGGCCCAGGGAGCTCTCAATGGAATCCCAAAGCCAGCCCGGGCTCCTGACCCTCGGTGTTCTTGGTTCATCCATCATCTTCCTGCCTCTGACATCCCTTTCTTCCTGTCAATCCTCAGAATCTTGGCACCCCTGGTCCAGCTCTGTCCCACCCTCGAGGTCCCAGCCATCCCCTGGACCTGGGGACCTCTTCTACTAACGCCTCTCAGATACACTGGACCCCGTGAGTACCATCTGAGGGCTTGATCAGACAGGGGGAGGGGTCACTGGCAGGCAGTACCCCATATTCCACCGTCCCCCAAGTCCCCACCTGTGGATTTGGGAAACTTCTACCAGGTAGCCCTTGTCCTCGAAGAGCTTATGGTGATTTGGTGCAGGGAGGAGGCACTGATCTGTGATGTTCCCAATCCCTCCTGGCAGCTGCGTGGCCTTGTGGCCTTGGTCTCCTCATTGGGTTTCTAGCCCTGAGGTCAGTGCATGTAGAATTGAAGTGTGGAACCGGTAGAATGGACAGGAAGGCACCAGGTGCTCAGAGGAGGCGAAGGTTCAGTGGCTTAGGGCCCAGAGGGCAGAAGGCAGGCCTGGGAAAGACTGCACTGAGCACAGGCAGAGTCGCTCCGAAGAGCTGGGGCAGGGGCTAGTGAGAGCGTGAAGGGACCCTGGGGCGTTCACAGGAAGTGGCAACACTTGGGTTAGAGCCTCTGGGCCCGTTCTCCAGTTGCCGTGATGATGCTTCTCGTAGGTACCGGGCGATGTACCAGTACAGGCCCCAGAATGAAGACGAGCTGGAGCTGCGCGAGGGGGACAGGGTGGATGTCATGCAGCAGTGTGACGATGGCTGGTTTGTGGGTATGTGGGCAGGCCGGGAGGAGGCATCTCAGGGCCCCAGGGGATGTGGGTAGGCTGCTGCTGCCTGCCAGTGCTACTTCAGCAAAGATTCATGGCCGACCACCCCCCACTCAGCTTCCGACCGGGCTACTGGGGAGGGCCTGGCACCCGATGCTTCCCCAAAGCCAGCACTTCTGTTGGCTGCCTTCCTTCATGCCCTGAAGAGGCCGAGGCCCAGGAGGAAACTGGCACCAGTCCAGGGTCACCGATGGAGTCACCGGGAACCCAGGCCAGGGTTCCCGACCTCCAGAGCCCTGCCCCTTCCTCCTGCACACCCCTGCCTCTGGAGCAGCCCTCGGGGAAAGGACCTGGTGGAAAGGACCAGGACTCACACTTGTGTATCCTCCAACCCCTAGCTGGCTCCTCCAGCCTGGGAGGAAAAGGGAGTGGAGCAAGGTCCCAGCCCCTCAGGGCTGGCCCAAGGGCAGCTCTGACCAAGGACAAATGCAGGAAGCCTCAGGTTGGCCTCGGCCTGAATCAACGTGACCAACCTACCAGGCTTCACATGGCCTCTTTCCCCAGAGTGGGCTGGCCCTGTGCAGGTCTCATCTTCAGAGGATGGGCCGTCCCTACAGAGAAGAGAGTGGCCAGAAGCCCCCTGCCCCTCCCCAAGCAGGTTTTGAGGCCTGAGGAGCTGGGGGGCTGCTTGGGCAGCCCCTTGACCTGGCAGCCCACCCTTCCTGATCTGATCCCAGTACAGCTGCCAGCCAGTCTCCTGACCCACCCAGGACCTTAAGCACTACCCTGTGAATGGCCCCTACCTTCTGGTGGGGGAGGGAGGGAGGCGGTGCTTAGAGATGTATTCAAATTTACTCGATACACTTTTGCTTTGCAATTTTTTTTTACAACTACTAATAAAGTTTTGCAAATCTATGCAGACAAGAAGAAAAAGTACCACTTTTGTGTTATGAGCCACAAGTGCTTTGAGAGGAATGGGTGAGACCTGTGCCCTCTCTGGTATGGCAGCCACCAGCTGCATGCAGCTGTTGAAATGTAGCTCAAATGAAATAAACTAAAAATCCAGTTCCTCAGTTGCATGGGCCAGTCTCAAGTACCCAACAGCCACACGTGGCGAGTGGTGTCCATTTTAGTTAGTGCAGGTCAGGGAAGGCTTCCTGGAGGAAATGAGGGAGCTGGGCCTGGAAGGGCAGGGGAAGGATTTGGGGAGGCCAAGAGGAAAGGGAGGTACTCAGGGCAGAGGATGAGGTTGGGGGTGGGACGAGCATGGGCTGCCCCCAAGGAAGTCAGGGTGCCAGCCTGGAAGGGGAGGCTCAGGATCATCCATTCACCCAAGGTCAGGAGTGACGTTCATTTGAGTTTATATTCCTATTTTTCTATATATAGGAATATAATAATACTTGTTACATTTCTGTATTTCTATATTTCTCCATTACTTCTTCCTCCCAGGCTGGAAGAACCAGCTGGGGGGTGTAGGGACACACAGGTGTGAGCTCTGGGCCTTTCCACCAGGAGCTCTCCCCAAGTGCTGTTCCAGAGGCAGGGGTGTGCAGGGGAAAAGGGCAGGGCTCTGAAGATCCGCAACCCTGGCCTGGGTCCACAGTGACTCCATCGGTGACCCTGGGCTGGTGCCAGTTTCCTCCAGGGCGTCACTGTCTTCAGGGCATAAAGAAAGGCAGCCAACAGAAGTGCTGGCTTTGGGGAAGCATCGGGTGCCAGGCCCCCCAGATGCTTTGCCCGCTGGGGTTCCCCCTCCTCCTCTTCAAGACACGAGTTTCTGTGGGGCTGTAGACCAGAGGCCTGGATCTGTGTCCCAAGCTTGCTCCTAAGCATCGGGGTGCTCTCAGGCAATTCATTCAGTCTTCTCTTAGGCCTTCCCACCCATCTCTAAGTGAGGGTGCCGTATTAGACCAGGGGCGTTTCTCCCGATTTCAGTTCTATGATTCCTCCTCCTGCGTCCCCACTTTGCGGAGGAGGTGGGGAGTGACTGCGCGCTGTGTACAGTGTGATGCGCCTTTGTTAATTGCTCAGATTCTTTGATTGTTGAGTGTGGGAAGTGTAGCTTTGCCCATCTAAGCTTCTGCCGCTAGGGGGCAGGAAGGAGGAGAGCAAATCCAACTCCCTCCCTGGGCTCCCCTACAGAACTCCCCTACAGTTCTGGGCGCTGCCGGCAGGGGGCAGGCCCTCACCCTTGCATCCCTGTTGAAGAAGGGAGCGGGGAACGCTCTTCCTGCCTTTCCTCTTTCAGGTGTCTCCCGGAGGACCCAGAAATTCGGAACATTCCCTGGAAATTACGTTGCCCCGGTGTGAGTGGTCTCCATGGCAACTTGGAGCCAGCCAGGATGGGGTGGGGAGCAGTGGCACTCGTGGGAGGGACATGACCCCCGCCCACATCCTCCTTCCCCAGGACCTGAGCTCCCGACATCTGCAGACGACCCCCGCAGCCTTTCCCTCGGACCCCCCTCGAAGCCCCCTGGACTGATTCCCACCTACGACTCACAGACATTCCTCCCACAGCCCTTTCATTTCCTCCCCACCCCACTCCCCAAATACAGAGGTCCGCTTTGAAGTGGAGACCATTTCCAGGCCTTATTGAGACCAGACCCCAAGTCCCCCACCCCCATCCTGCTCCAGCTTTCCTCTAACAGGGACCAGCGCTCCGCTTTGCCCCCAGGGGGTTCCTCTAACCAGGACCAGCTTCCTAGCCTCCTAGAGACCAAAGGCCGCCCCCGCCTGCTGGGGTTCCTCCCACCACCCCAGCTTGCCGGCTGCCCACTTTGCCTTCTGGCCTCCAGCTGGGCGTGGGGGGCGGAGCAAGGCGGGGGACAGCAGCACCTTCTTAGCGATCCAGGCCTGGCAAGAGCTCTGGCCCCAAGGCTACCTCTTCCCAGGGGCTATCAAGTCCTGGGCCTGGCCCTGGAATATCACCCCGCACTGTGGGGCCAGGCACCACTAGCCTGGCTCAAATGTTCCCCAGGGAGACTGCTGTGTGCTGCCCGCCTGCCTGCTGGCTCTCCCCCAGCCCCACGTCCCCTCTGGAAGAGAATGTAAAATAAACCTGGACACAAGGGACTTTGTCTCTGAGGCCTTTTCCTTGGGGTAGGAGATGTCTTCTGTCTGGGAAGATGGGAATTCCTTCTGCTGGGGGCTGTGCTGGGAGACAGGTGGGACAGGTGTGTGTGTATGGGGAGGATGGAAAAACACCGTTACTACCTCCAAAGATCTCTGCCTTTGGGTGTCAGGCAGGCTGGGATAGCCCCCACGATTGGGCAGCTGTGTGGCAAGAAGTGCTGGGAGAATGAACAGTGCCAGGCCCTGGTAGCAGGGAGACATCAGAGATGGGGGACTGAATGTGGCCTTGTTTGCAGACTGTTTTGATTCTGGAGCTGCCACCGTGGGGTTGCTGGGCTAGATGACATTTCTAACTGTTCTGCTGTTTTCCTTCTGTGTGCTCCATTTCCACACCGAAGCCCTTGTGTGTGTTTATTCTCCTCTTTGGGCTCAGGCTTTTGAGCAGTCCTTTGTGGGAAGCTGGGAGTGGTGAGGCACAGCCAGCCTAAACTACTCTTGAACAAGGGTTTTTGTTTTGTTTTGTTTTGTTTTTGTGAGATGGGGTCTCTTTCTTTCGCCCAGGCTGGAGTGCAGTGGCCCGATCTCAGCTCACTGCAGCCTCTGCCTCCCAGTTTCAAGCAATTTTCCCACCTCAGCCTCCTGAGTAGCTAGGATTACAGGGTTGCAGCACCATGCCCAGCTAATTTTCGTAGTTTTAGTAGAGACAGGGTTTCACCATGTTGGCCAGGCTGGTCTTGAACTCCTGACATTGAGTGATCCACCCACCTCAGCCTCCCAAAGTGCTGAGATTACATGCTTGAGCCACTGCGCCCGACCTTCAACAAGGTTTTATAGTCCTGGAGCTTGTGGGTCCCTGTGGGATGACAGTAGTGGCATAGTCCAGGCAGAGTCCAGCCACTCTGCCAAGAAAGGCAGTTCCGTGTCTCAGCTGCTGCTGAGAGGTGAGCAGGGCACCAGGGCCTCTCCGTGTGTTACCTAACGTTAGCCTCACCATGGCAGGTTATGATTCCATTTTACAGAGGGAGAGACCCAGGCTCTGAGAAATTAAGCTTTCTAGGTCACATCATTATTAAATGCTGAAGTCAGGTCTACCTCACTTCCTGAAATCTACTAAATGCCCAGGCAGCCCTCATCCAGGGGCCCTTGGAGAAGGAAGGTCATGTGTGAGGTCAGGGACTTCTCTAGGGCGGCCCAGGGTTGGGCCACTTTTATGTTCTTCCTGGCAATCCTGTCTTCTAGGCCTGTCACCTAAGGGAGGTGTGAAGAGGTGGTGGCTGGAGTGAAAGGTGGTGGTGCCCAGTTCTGTCAGGACAGAGGGGAGGGGCTCATGGTTGACAGGGCAGTGGCCTAGCCCTGGCTGGTTTCTTGAACCTGGGTGCGGCCTGACCCAGCAGGGGTTAAACAGCGGCTGGAAGAACGAGTCCTCCATCCACCTCCATCCTCACCCTGGTCTGGTTCTAAATGGGCAGGTCCAGCCCATCCTGGCCTAGAAACGACCATTCTTCAGAACCCACTGGCCAGGTTGCCGTTCCCCCATCCCAGCTCTTATTTCATGAACTCCCTGATGCCCTCATAAAACATATCAGGGCTGAGGCCTCCTCTCCCTGGGACAGAGACCAACTCCACACCCTCTCTTTGATGGAGTGCTGGCACCTCCCGCAGCTAACAAACCCTCCAACCCTGGGCTGTCTGCACCACAGTCCTGCCTGAAAGATGCTTCTGTGCCTCGACCTGGCCTGAGTGGGGGGGGGGGGCGGGGGGGGAAGGGAGGATCAGAGGCTGCTGGGGATGGCTCACCCATGAGAGGGGAGGGCGGTGACGTGGCTTACCAGGGCCACAGAGAGGCTACGAGCAGGACATGTCCTCTTCTGTGCCAGAGTTGTGCCCTGCCTGCATCCGCTGACTTGTCTTTGTGGTGGGTTTTGTGAATTCACAACCCACCCATCAGAAAACCCTGCCAGATGAACCTGGGGCTGTTTGTAGAGTCTGTCCAAGGTATGCAGGAGGGGCTCTCTGAGGAAATGATTGGCTTTTGTTTGGTTCACTCTCCATTCCCAGAGGCAAGCATAGTACCTGGCGCTCAGTACTCACTGGTGCTCAGTACTCACTGGTGCTCAGTACTCACTGGCGCTCAGTACTCACTGAATGAATGCTGTTGGAATGATTGCGTGGAAGAACTGAATGGATGAATTTCCCTTCCTTTGGGTCCCTTCCCAGGAGTCCCCTCCCCATTTGAGGCAGGGACTCTGTTTGACACCTATGTGCCATCCTTGGCTTTTGCCTGTGGCCAAGCAATTTTTACAACAGAAGGGTAAGCGGCACATTATCCCCATTTTCCACATGGGAAAACTGAGGCCTGGAGGAGCTGAGGAAGTTGCTGAAGGTCACACAGCCGGTGAGACGCAGCTGTGCACTTGGGGGCTAGTGTGTGCCCCCGGGGCTGTGCTCACCCTACCTGTAGTTGCCTCTTCCCTCAAGAGGCTTCCAGTCTAGTCAGGGAGGTGGAACAGGTGCAATCAGGCCAGGTGGTCATGCCAGGAGGCTGGAAACCAGCCAGTGGGAGAGGAGTTTGCACACCCAGGACAGAGGCTGTGGGAGGAGGGGGGCTGAAGTGTGAACGCGGGGAGGCTGAGATAAAGGCACGGGCAGGTGAGGGGCGTGGGGAGGCCACTCTTCACAGAGCGAGCGTGGAGGGAATGACTCACACCTGAGGCAGGCGAGGCACAGCTGCACCCACAGGTGTGATCCCCTGAAAACACAGCAGCTTGGCAGCCAGAGGCTAAGTGGAGACCCAAGGAGAGGCGGCTCTGTGGCCCTGAGGTCCCCGGGGAGAGGGTTGTCAGGTACAGCTCCTCCTCCCTAAGTTGGCACCTGGGTCCCCTCCTTGGCTGCCCTCTCCTCATCCTTACAGCCTGAGCTCCAGATGCTTGAAAGAGGACGGGGGAGAGGGCAGGAAGGGGTGTGAAGGCCTGCAGAGAGGGTGAGGTGAGGGCCCACGGGAACGGGAAGGTACCAGCCTAGAGGTGGGGCTGTCCAGTGAACCCCCAGCCAGGAGGCTCTCTCTCCATCTCCTAGGGCCCCTGCGGGTCCCCTTTCCAGGCAGAGAAGTTCCAGGCAGAGAAGTTCTGCACTGGCGAGAAACCAGCGCTCAGGAAGGGAGTTGGCGGGAGGAGGGTGGCCTTGGTTTGGGATTTGTGGGTGTCAAGGCCGCATCTGCGCCAGCTTCCGAGCCTGGAGTAGGTGGAGAAGCCAGGCGGACCGCAGACGCACCCAGGCAGCCCACCCTGCCCAGGGCTTGGGGATGAGGAGCGGGAGAGCGCGGCCGGCGTGGGAAAGCTTTATGGGGCTGCCCCCTCGGCCGTCTGCGAACTGGGGCGCGGGGCCGTCACTGGACCGGCTCCGCTGTGCCCCGGGCGGTCGGGGGCATGCGGGCACTCCGGGGAGGATGAGGGCGCCACCGGTTGGACGGCCGCAGCCTGCAGGGGGCCCTGGGGACAGCCTGCCCCATCCCCCCGGCGGGCTCGGGCCAGGTGGCAGCGCCTGGGCTCGCCGCGCGGAGGCGGCGGCTTCCCGGGCCAGGGGCGGCGGCAGGGGCGGCCCCGGGATCACATGGGCGGAGGCAGGTCCCAGGGCCCCGGGCGGACTCTCCCCAGAGTCGGGCAGACCGCAGCGGGAGCGGCGGCGTCTCCTCGCCCTCTCTCCCTCCCGGGCCTGGGCGCCCAGCCCGACAGGTGAGCGGCAGCCAGGTGAGCGTGCCCACCTGCACCCCTCCGCGCGGCCCGCCATCCCCGGCGCCCGGTTCCTCTCCGCGCCCCTATCGGCGCGGGACCCTGGCCTCGTTCCTGGCCCGGCTCCTTGGAGCCTCGCATCGGCGGGGGCGCCCCCGCGGGTTGCACTCTCCCCGGCCGGCGCGCTCCTCCTCCAGCCCCCGGCCCGCAGGGTACTTTGCCCTCAGAGCGAAGGAGGCACCAGAACTGGGAGAGCCGGGCCATCCAGCTGGGCACCTCCCCGCGGCGCCCGCAGCGCGGAGTCCACTGACCGGCTCAAAGGTCTGGGAATCTCAGGGTGGCCGCCAGTCGCCAGAGCCGGCCTTGGGGACTGGGGTGGCGGCGGTGCGGGGTACAGAGGCCAGGCCTGGGCCCAAGGGGAAGGCAGCCGGGGATGGAGCGGACAGACCGCTGGTGCTCTTGACAGATTCTCGCAGCGCTTGTGTCCCGGGCAGCCCCAGGATGGGTGCTGGGCAGGGTGGTGCCCAGCCTGGTACCGCGGCTTCCTGCCTGGGTTGGCTCCTGGTTCCAGAGCTAGAGGCTCAGGAAATCCCACAAGGGTCTGTCTGCAGGGGCACTTCCTTGCCCAGCAGAGGGGCTGTGGATGGGAGGCCTGTCACCACGGCTGTCTGTCGGGCAGCATCAGGAATCTAGGGTGGGTGTGCCCAGTTTGACAGATGAACCCTGGCCTCCTTGCCCTGGCAGCAGGCCCCTGGGAGAGGTGGGGAGCCTGGTCTTGCCCATGTGAGCCACTTTGCCAAGAACGAGGTGGACAGCTAGGAGGCCCCTGTGAAGACCCAGCCTCACCCCACCAGCCCCTCACCTGGCCAGTGACTTACACAGTCTGTACTGGTGCCAGCCTGTTCCTCCTGCTTCCTGAGCCCTCCTCTCCTTAGGCCACTCACCAGCCCTCCCCAAGAGTGGAGAGGAAGTACCGTGTGCTGTGGGTTTTGGGGACAGGAAGCAAGCGCTAGTGGGACTGAGCCCTGATGGTGGAGGAGGGGAGACGGAGGCGGTGCTGGCATCTCTTCCACTTGCCAGCCCCTGCCCCCCATGCTCCAATAAGCCCCCCACCTGGCAGCCTGGGCCGCTCCCTCCTGGGAGTCGCTCCCTGGGCTGAGGCCTAAGGAAGGGAGAACACAGAGGCATGGCTTCCCAGGGTGGGGGGAAGTGAAACAGGGGTGAGGGAGGGAGTTAACCACTTCCTCTACCCACCCCAGAGACCCTGAGTAGCTGTCCGGGAGCTGTCGTGCCCTCTCTTTCTCCCTTTGCCCCCTCTCCTGCTGCCTTACAGTACCCCCAGAGCCGGGTGGGGGCACGGACTTCACCTCCTGGTCCTGTGTTGCTCAGGTATGGCGCTCACAGTGGATGTGGCCGGGCCAGCGCCCTGGGGCTTCCGTATCACAGGGGGCAGGGATTTCCACACGCCCATCATGGTGACCAAGGTAAGGATGGTGGCTCCAAGAGGTGAGGGGGTCCTGCCAGAAGCGAGGTCAGCCGTGTTCATGCCACTCGGCACAGAAGGCTTGCTTTCTCTGTTCTGGGGCCAGGGACCTACTGCTGCCCGGCGTGCTGGCTGCAAGGGAGCCGTGGCCCTTTGCCACAGGGATGTGGTGGCCACTTCAGGAACAGACCTTGGGAGTGAAAAGGAACTGGGCCGAGGACAGGGCCTGCTCTTGCCTCCCCAGTTGCCATCCCCACACCTGCAGGCAGCCATTTTGCATGGTTACTAGAACAAGAGCCCCGGAGTTCTTGGCAGTCTCCTCTTGACCCGGGCCGGGCTGGGAGCATTCGCAGGAGGGCTGTGCAGGCAGTCACCTGCAAGGTGTGATTTGCACGGGCAAGGCTCTCTATCCAAAAGTATTTCCAAGCACAGTTCCTGACATTCTGCCACTGCACGTTCTTTGGGAGGCTCATTAGAATGCCAATGTGGGGCGGGGGCTGCCACCTGTGGTTCTGGAGGGGATGGCTGATCAGTTCGGCGTCATGAACAGGCAGAGGGATGTGCAGGAGGGTGCAGGCAGGCCTGGGTCAAGCCAGCCTCTGTGTTTCTTGGGTAGCAGAGTGGGAAGTCCCTTCCCCAGGTGGGCCACGGTCTGAGCATGCCAGCTTCTCATCCCTACAGGTGGCTGAGCGGGGCAAAGCCAAGGACGCTGACCTCCGGCCTGGAGACATAATCGTAGCCATCAACGGGGAAAGCGCGGAGGGCATGCTGCATGCCGAGGCCCAGAGCAAGATCCGCCAGAGCCCCTCGCCTCTGCGGCTGCAGCTGGACCGGTAGGGCCTCCGGCTCTGCAGAGCCTGTGGCATTCCCCTTCCCCCCGCCACCCCACAGAGCAGCCCTTGCTCCTGCCCATGGCCTAGAGCTCAGCCCTAAAGCGGCCTTCTTGGGCCCTCTCCACACCTCGGTGAGAAGGTCCTAGGCTCTGCTTCCTGCAGCAGGGTGGGCTGAGGGGTGTTCCCGTGCCTGGTTGGGTAAAGGTGGGCGCCAGGCTGGGCGTGCAGTCACAGGCTGGGCAGGGCGAGCTGGCACCAGCCACCTGGAAGCCCGGGTTTGACTGGTTCCCAAGAGTGTGCAGGGCACAGGGCGTGGGCATGAAGTGGGTTGAAGAGGGGAAACTTCTGGGATAGGTATGCCCGAGACTGGTCCCCAGGACTCCTGCCTCCAACAGAGTATGGCCTTTGTTTAGTTCCCAGCTGGAAGTGAGGACCTGGGGGGCTCATTCCTCATAGAGCCTGTCTGTTCCTCCCCATCACGGCTCTGGGCCCTGCTGGTGAAGTTGGATTTCCCACCCTGGGCCTTACTCCTAGGGTTCTGAGCCTATAAGCCAAGGTGGGGCCAGGGTGGGGCCTGGAGGCCAAGCTATAGGGGGAACAGGTGGCTCCCTGGGGTGGGGCTTCGCAGTGAGTCACAGATCAGGAATGCCAGGAGATTCCCAAGTCAGGAGAGCCCTCTGCACGGGCCTGGAACATGAGTCAGACACCTCTTGCGTCCTGGCCACCCCTACATTGTCCTGCTCTCTTCAGCCCTACCAAGCCCCTCCTTCTCCAACTGCCCTGCCCTGTGGTGTGGCAGAAGCTGACTCTCTTCATGTCGTTCAGGTCCCTGGGTGTTTGCAGCAGTTGGGACCCCGAGAAAGAGGGTAGAGAGAACCTCATGGTTTCTGGGAATGGGGCGACACCGTCTCTTCCTCTGGGGTTCTCTGGAGGGTTCAGGGCTCCAGGGAGGTAGGTAAGCCTGGGCTGTAAGTCAGGCCTCTGGTTCTGCACCAGACAAGCCCAGACTCCAGTCTTTTAACTTTTTTTTTTCTGAGACAGAGTCTTGCTCTGTTGCCAGGCTGGAGTGCAGAGGCGTGATCTCGGCTCACTGCCACCTCTGCCTCCTGAGTTCAAGCGTTTCTCCTGACTCAGCCTCCCAAGTACCTGGGACTACAGGCACGTGTCACCACGCCCAGCTAATTTTTGTATTTTTAGTAGAGATGGGGTTTCACCATGTTGGCCAGGATGGTCTCGATCTCCTGACCTTGTGATCCACCCGCCTCGGCCTCCCAAAGTGCTGGGATTACAGGTATGAGTCACCGCGCCTGGCCCAGTCTCTTAACTTTTGCTGACGTGCCTCCCCCATCTCCGGCCTCCTACCCTCCCCAGGTGGCCTCTCTGGCATCAGAAGCCCTGGGGCAGGGAGCAGGGCTCCAGGCTGGAGCCAGAGCCTGTGCTCCCCTCACTCTGATCCCACGGCTCTCCTAGGAAGCTGAGGGTCCTGTTGCCTTACATCTCTAGAAGCAGCCTCACGGCCAGGAATGCGTGGCAGGATGGGACGAGGCAGGCTGTCCCCTAGCCCTGACTTCAGTTACCTCCCACTCAAGGCTCCAGCTGGGTTCCACCCAGGGAGCTGGGAGTGGGGAGCCCCTCTCACTGGTGGGGAGCTAGGCCTGCTTGTCTGAAAGGAGGCAGGTGGGTCTCACCCTTTGTTTAACTGCGGAGACCCCTGAGGAAGGGATCAGGAGTGACGCTCTCAAAGGCACCCTGGCCTCCAGTGGGCAGGGTGCGCAGCTGGCCCAGTCACCATGGCCTCTAGAACTGGAGGCAGCTCACTTTCCCTCTCTGGGCTTCAGTTTCTCCATGGGTTAAAATATAAGGGATTATTTCTATGAAATCAGTAATCGGGCCGGGCGTGGTGGCTCACACCTGTAATCCCAGCATTTTGGGAGGCCGAGGTGGGCAGATCACCTGAGGTCAGGAGTTCAAGACCAGCCTGGCCAATGTGGCGAAACCCCGTCTCTACTAAAAACACAAAAATTAGCCAGGTGTGCTGGCGGACACCTGTAATCCCAGCTACTTGGGGGGCTGAGGCAGGGAGAATTGCTTGAACCCGGGAGGCGGAGGTTGCAGTGAGTCAAGATTGCGCCATTGCACTCCAGCCTGGGAGACAGAGTGAAACTCCATTTCAAAAAAAAAAAAAAAAGTAATCTTCCCCAAATCAATCTACAAACCCGAGGCTGAGTGACACCAGTGACAAAGTCCAGGCAAAACAGGAAAAAAAAAAAAAAAAAAAAAAAAGAGGGCAGGATAATGTGAGGACTCGAATAAAATTGAATGTTTGAACTTTCTGATGAAGTTTTATACATTCTACTTTTTAGAACCAAACTATCCTTTCTTTTTGGAGAGTGGGTTTTGTTGTTGTTGTCGTTGTTTGAGATGGAGTCTCACTCTGTCGCCCAGGTTGGAGTGCAGTGGTACAATTTTGGCTCACTGGAACCTCTGTCTCCCAGGGACAGGCAGTTCTCCTGCCTCAGCCTCCCAAGTAGCTGGGATTACAGGCATACGTCACTGTGGCCTGGCTAACCCTTTTTTTTTTTTAAATTATAGACGGGATTTCACCTTGTTGACCAGGCTGGTCTTGAACTCCTGACTTTAAGAGATCCAACCTCCTCAGCCTCCCAAAGCGCTGGGATTATAGGCGCGAGCCACCGTGCCCGGCCTTGGTGTTTTTTGAGACAGAATCTCGCTGTGTTGCCCAGGCTGGAGTGCAGGGGGGCAATCATGGCTCACTACAACCTCCGCCTCCTGGGCTCAAGTGATCCCCCCACCTCAACCTCCCAAGTAGCTGGGACTACAGGCATGCTCCACTATGTCCAGCTACTTTAAAAAAAATTTTAGTAGTGACGAGGTCTTCCTATGTTGCCCAGGCTGGTCTTGAACTCCTGGGCTCGAGTGATCCTCCTGCTTTGGCTTCCCAAAGCGTTGGGATGACAGGCGTGGGCCACTGTGCCTGGCCAACTGTCCTTTCTTTTAAGAAACCATGGTGGTTGTTGATGATAGTTGTTTGTCTTGAGTTTGAGAAAGTTAAAAGTTGACAACCTGATGTCCAAATTTTCTGTAGCTTTTACTGGTGTTGAGAACCAGATCTGGGAACAGTTTTGGCCTCTTTTGGGGGTTGCTGGGTGCAGGGCCCCTGTGTCACTACCTCCCTCTGTTGCCTCCTCAGGTCTCAGGCTGCGTCTCCAGGGCAGACCAATGGGGACAGCTCCTTGGAAGTGCTGGCGACTCGCTTCCAGGTAAGCTGGTGCCCTCCCCTGGGAGCCTCAGCACCCTGATCACTGGTGCATGAGAGCGAGGCCCGAGGGCAGGGCGGCCTTGGTGGGGCAGCCCTGCCTTTCCTGACATGGCCATTCTCTCCGCAGGGCTCTGTGAGGACACACACTGAGAGTCATTCCTCCCTAAGGTCCTCCTACTCCAGCCCAACCTCCCTCAGCCCGAGGGCTGGCAGCCCCTTCTCACCACCACCCTTCAGTAGCCCCCTCGCTGGAGAGGCGGCCATCAGCCGCAGGTGAGCACACCGTGGGTGGGCATCTTGGTCGTCTGGGCTGCCAGCTCCAGGCTGGCTCTTTGGAGTCTCAGGAGCTCTGCTCAGGGGAGCCTGGGGCAGCATCCTCCCTGGGCAAGCTGGGGGTGGCCCCGGCACACACTGTCCCTTTCCCACTTTCAGTTTCCAGAGTCTGGCGTGTTCCCCGGGCCTCCCTGCTGCTGACCGCCTGTCCTACTCAGGCCGCCCCGGAAGCCGACAGGTGAGGCCCTGTATGGGAGGACAGGCTGGAGGAACAGAAACACCTCCTGTTCCTGTGGGTTGCCAGTGCCCCGGGACTGCAGGCAGCCAGGCCCACCTGGGCAGCCAGGGCCTCCTTCTCCTGACGACAGGCATGCTCTGCTCCTGAGCCAGGGAGGCCACGCTTCTGGTCGTGGGCCACGTGTGCTGTGCCCAAGACCTGCCTGGCAGTGCCCAGTGGCCTGTCCATCTCCTGCACCCCTCTGACCACCCCTCTCCTCTCCCCTCCCCTTATTCCCCTCCCCTTGTCCTCCTCCCCTCGTCCCCCTCCCCTCATCCCCCTCCCCTCCCATCCTGCTGACTTCCTCCTGCCTGTGTGTTTCTCTTGGGCTGCGGCTGAAATAGTTTCGCTGCTGTTGTTGGGATGATTCCCTTTAGGCTCTGGCTGCATCTCTCGAATACATTCCTCCCCATTCCAAGACCAGGGCCTGCCCGACTCCCACCCACACCCTCCTTTCCTCCTCTGACTCAGCCCAGAGATGCCCCATTGGGACTGCGGTTCTGCCTGGAGCTGCTCTTGGCTGGTTCTGTCTCCTCCTCCCCCCACCCCCCATCCGACCAGCTCCCCTGGACTCTCTTCCAGCCAGGTCTCAGTGGCCACTGGTGACAGCCTAACCCCCTTCCTGGGTGGTATTTCTCCTCTTCAACGGTGGGGGATGGTGAGGGAGTGAGGCAGCCAACAGCCCTGGGCCGCAGCTGCTGGGGACGGCATCGGGGGCACGTCCAGCCTTTGGGGTGATGGGGATACAGCCCAGCTGCTGAGCCCTACCTTCGGGTTGATTCTGCATTACAGAAAGCAGAGCCTTTGAGGGTGGCCAGGGAGGGCAGTAGAACCCAGGGGCTCCAGAGGAGGAAGGAGCAGGATCTTTCTGGCGTGGGGAGTGCTGGGGCTTCCGAAGAGGGGCTCCCTGGTGACCTGCTGCACGCCCACCGAGGGGCCAGTCTGGCGTTGTGGTCATAGAGATGTATTCCATGGGTCCCCTTTGTTAAGGAATTGAAGATGCAGTTGTGGAGATAAGGCAAACTTGCAAAACAATTTTGGAGCAATTAGGCACTAAGCAGTGTGGTATTAATTACAAAAGCAGGAGGCGTTCTGGTGGGGGAGTTGGGGAAGGAAGGCTGTGTGACGAGTATTGCTGGACATCGGAGGTGACGGCGGGAGGGTTTAGGGAAGGATGAGCAGGAGGCCTGACACGCTGGGAGATGGGGAAACAGTGGTCCAGCTGAGGCCTGGTGTACTGGGGCTGGGGGATTTTTTAGGGGGAAACTTTGTTCTGAGATATTCCAGGAATGAGCTTGTCTCAGGGCTAGTCAGTGTCAGTCCTGGCTCCTTTCCGCAAAGCCTCTGGCGAGCTGTGGTCTCAGCAGGACCACATGCTCAAGGGCAAGCCTTCCTGAGCTTCCCCCTCGTGTTGCCCCCAGTCCAGGAAAATGAACGGTGTGGAAGGTACAGAGGCATGGATCCCAAACCAGCGGCAACACCTGAGAACTTGTTGGAAATTCAATTTCCCAGGCTCCAGCCTATACCCGCTGAGTTGGGCATGGGGCTTCCGGGTCATGTGTCCAGAGCTGGATGTGGGGAGACCCACCTGGGTCGGTCCCACCTCTGCCATGACGACTTGGACCAGTCCCTCTTCCTCTCCCTGGGCCTCAGGTCAGACTAGACGCTCCGAGTTCCCTTCTCTGACCTTGATGACTCTGCTCATTCCTTCAGCAAATATTTGTCGAGCAGCTGCTTCATGTCAGACACTCATCTGGGCTCTGGGGATGCACTCGTGGAAAAACAGAGTGACACCTCTGACCTTATGGAGCTGACGTTCTAGTCTACAAATGAGGCTGTGGTCCCACAGCTGCCTCTTGAGAATCACTGTGTAGCTGGGTGCTGTAACACGCGCCTGGAGTCCCAGCTACTCAGGAGGCTGGGGTGGGAGGATTGCTTGAGCCCAGGAATCCAGACCCAGTTTGGGCAACATAGTGAAACCCCATCTCTTTTAAAAAAAAAAAAAGTCACTTACACTCAAGAGTCTTAAAAGCTCTAAGAAGTCCCATGAGAAAGAAACCCACTTAATTTTTCTTTAGATCCTAAACTTGTTGAACAGCAAAATTTCTCTTCTGTGAAGGCAAGGGTCCCTAACCGCTAACCGCCTGGGAGGAAGGGAGGGAGGAGAAAGGCATTGCCTCTCCCAGTGGGGGAGCTGGGCTCCTTCTCTGGGCCGGGCAGTCTGGTGGGAGTGTATGGGAGGAATGCTGTGAGCTAGAGAGGCAGGAGTGCCGTGTCCTTGTGGCCTCCTGACATGGCCAAGGCTGCAGAGAGCCGGAGGCTCAGGATGCCCTTATGGTGCCTCTGGAAATTACAAGTTCCCTTTGCTGGTAATCACATGCCTTGGTGAGCGGAGGCCAAGTGGGAAAAGCCCCTCTCCCTCTGGCTGGAAATGAGGACTTGCCTCATGGAGGGATCCTGGGCCGGTGCCCCAGGCAGGGCCCATGGTGGTCTGTCTGGAGATGTGATGTGGCTCTTGAGTACCTGCAGAAACTATCTCTAGGTCCTTCAGGTGACCGCACAGCCCCAGGCAGTTGCCCTGCAGCCCAGGTGTGGAGTCCCAGCCCTGCCTCTGATGCTTCAGGTGGCTTAGACCAGCCACTTTGCCCTTCTGACCTGCAGTCTCCTTACCTAAAGAACGTTTTACTGACGGACCCTGAGAGCAGAGCAATGTGAGGGGAACTGCTGGTGGGGCGAGGGTCTAGGACTGTTTTCTTAAGATCCAGAAGTTTTTGCTTTAGCTTAAGGATTTATGCAATTTTCCATCTGGCTTCATAATTCATCCATGACTTTGAATTTTAAAATGGAGAGAAGTTGGCTTCCCAGGAAATGGTGCCCCTGGCCCTGGGCACCGGCCCGCCTGGCTGTCTCCAAGGCTCTCCTCCCAGTGGCTGGTGCGGGCTTCTGGAGCTCAGTTGAGTCCCACTGGGGTGGCAATGGACAGGGAGCAGGGGAGTGCGGAGTACAGAGATGCAGGCTGGAAATTGGCCTCCAGGAACAACGGTGAGGTTGAAGGTGAGATTTCCATGTTGGGAGCACATGGAAGAGCCCCAGATGGACAGGGCACACCTGGAGATGGGCATTGCTGCCAGGGTGTGCCCCAGGGAGGGCTCGGCTGCCCAAAGCTCCATGGGGCAGGCCCAGACCTCCCAACAGAGCAGGGACAGGCTGGTCAGCCTAGACCCCCGCCTCTCGGGAGAGGAACCAGCTCTCCTTGGGAAGACGGCTTCTGCCCCTGCTGGCCCTGGCTCCCAGGGGACCTCGACCCCTTACTTCATCCCTTTATGTTTCCATCTCCTCAGTGCAAAAGGGCAGCATGCTTCCTCTCTGCTGGTTCCGTGGGATCCGAGCCAGGCCCCAGTGTGCAATGTCTTTGCACACAGATAATAGCGGGCGTGACAGAGGACTCTGTGCTTAGCTGTCACCTGCTGCCTTCCTGCTGCCTGGTCCCCGGCAGAACCCACATGCCTCCCTCACCCTCTGGGCCCTGGCAGTCTCTGTGCCCTGGCTCCAAGGGAAGGGGCAGGGGGCCTGCTGGTCAGCGAGGGCCGGGAAGCCCGACACCCTGGCTCCGAGGGAAGGGGCAGGGGTCCGCTGGTCGGCGAGGGCCGGGGGCCCCCTGGTGTCGGGCCTGGGAACAGCCGGGCTAGGCCCTCCTGGGTGTGTTGGTCCAAGGCTCCGGCCCTGACTCCTCCCCGACTGCCTCCTCCCCACAGGCCGGCCTTGGCCGAGCTGGCGACTCGGCGGTGCTGGTGCTGCCGTCTTCCCCAGGCCCTCGTTCCTCCAGGCCCAGGTACCAGCAGGCCCGGAGGGTCGGGTGGGGTCTTGGAAGGCTGGGAGGAGCAGGAGGGAGATGGGTTTCCCCGAGAGGGATGGGGTCCTCCAGGCCCAGTTGGTTCCTCCACCTCCCAGATTCCTCCCCCTCCCCCACTCTCTTCTCCTGTCCTCCACCCCCTTGCTTGCCTAAGCCCCGGCAAGGGACCCTCATTCCTGGCTGCCGCCCACCCAACAGCGTGGACTTGGAAGGGGGAAGCCTCCTCCTGGACGAGGACTCGGAAGTCTTCAAGATGCTCCAGGAAAATCGCGAGGGTCGGGCGGCCCCCCGACAGTCCAGCTCCTTTCGGCTCTTGCAGGAAGCCCTGGAGGCTGAGGAGAGAGGTGAGGGCCTCGGGGGCTGGGGAGGGGAAGGAGATTCCCTCCCATATCCTGGGCCCTGACTGGATGGGTCAGTGAACCAGTGTTCTTAAGTGCCTGTGAGGCGCTCACCCCGGGACTAGGCATGGAGCCCAGCAGGGCGCGAAGCCCCAGACCCTGCCCTTAAGGAGCTGACGGTCTGGGAGGGTCACCAGCGTGCTCCCAGACAGTAGTGGGCAGTAGCTGGCTGGGATGGGAAAGTGTCATTCGAGTGATAAAAGCGGTGGCGGGGCCTGAGGCTGGGCCTCCAGGGAGGGCTTCTTGGAGGAAGAGGGATTTGACTTGGCCTCTTGGCCTCAGAAAAAAACATCAAGACTTAAACAGCATTAAGATGTTGGCAGGAAGCACCGTGGAAGGTGGAGGCTGGCGGCCAGAGGGCTTTGGGGTGTGGGAGCGGGAGAATGGGGGCCTGATAGCGTGGCAGGGCACCAGTGGAGGCCAAGCCCCTGCAGTGAGGGCCCTCAGGAACCAGGCTGAGGAGTGCCCTGACCCAGGAGAGCCGTTAAATACAGATGCCAGGCGAGCAGGACATACAGAGGCTTGCCAGAGTTCAGTTATTCATGTGACAGACACTGACTGTGTCCATCCGAGGGACCAGATGTGTGCAGAGTTTGGGGATAGAAGGTGACCATGACCTCACTCCTGTCCTTGGGGAGCTCCGTTCACTGGGGCAGACAGGCCTGGCCGGCTCCCATGGAAGTGGGCGCTGCTATGGGAGTTCCTATAGACGCTCAGCACCAATGCCCTTTAGAACAGCAGGGAGATGGGGAGGGAGGCAACAGGACAGGCAGGAGAGTGACCAGAGAGGCTGCATAATTCATCCACGACTTTGAATTTTAAAATGGAGAGAAGTTGGCTTCCCAGGAAATGGTGCCCCTGGCCCTGGGCACCGGCCCGCCTGGCTGTCTCCAAGGCTCTCCTCCCAGTGGCTGGTGCGGGCTTCTGGAGCTCAGTTGAGTCCCACTGGGGTGGCAATGGACAGGGAGCAGGGGAGTGCGGAGTACAGAGATGCAGGCTGGAAATTGGCCTCCAGGAACAACGGTGAGGTTGAAGGTGAGATTTCCATGTTGGGAGCACATGGAAGAGCCCCAGATGGACAGGGCACACCTGGAGATGGGCAGGTAGCTGGTTCTAATGCTGATGTTTAGCTCCAAGGGGCATTTGCAGAGGCATGGGGGTGGGGTGAGAAGGTTTGGAGCAAATCTTGTCTGTTTTGACCCTGAGGCCTCAGAAGGTCCCAGGAGGCAGCACAGGGAGAGGGCAGTGCCTTTGCCAAGGGAGCCTCAGTGTCCTTAGCTGCAGGCAGGGGTGACAGCTGCCCCATAGCCCTGGGCTTCATCTTCGCGTGGCTTCAGAGCTCACATGCGATAATGCATGGAAAAGCCCTTTGAAAGCCACACCGAGGCATTGCACTCCTGTTGCCATCTCGGGTTATTATCTAATCACACTGTCATTACTGGGTCACTAGAGAAGGGAGCGCCTGCTTCACCTGACATGTCACACACGGAGCACAGACGGCCCCAGGTGGGCAAACTAGGGCTTGTACCTGCCTCCTTCATGCCCTTGCCCAGCCTCAGCCATAGGTCTGGCAATATCACCTTCCTCCTTACCCAGTGCCACCGTCAGTGTGACTTTAGGGGTCCTCTTATAAGGGTGCTTTCCAAGACCCCACCACCTTAGAGCATCTTTGGGAGGCTGCTGTGGTTGGTGGGCTCTCACCACGTGTCTGTCTGCCCTGCCCTCAGGTGGCACGCCAGCCTTCCTGCCCAGCTCACTGAGCCCCCAGTCCTCCCTGCCCGCCTCCAGGGCCCTGGCCACCCCTCCCAAGCTCCACACTTGTGAGAAGTGCAGTACCAGCATCGCGTGAGTGTGGAGGAGGGTGGGGGACCTGAGCCTTGGCAGGGGAGTGGGGAGGGGGACAGGGCACTGGATGCTTTCAGGAAGGGCCGGGCCCATCGGGCTAGCACTGGGCACCCAGTCAGGGACCCTAGGGGAAGCAGTGTCCCACAGCTTTGGGGGCGTTAGTTACAGGCTTCTTAGGAGCCTGTGCTAGCTGCTTCCGGCTGCATCTCCTCCCTCTCCCTCTCCTCCTTTTCCCATCCCTTTTGATTTCTCTTCCATGATTTCAAAGCCTCTGGAGATCTCCCTGGAGGTACAGCACATCCTCCTGGAAAATCTTGTTTTTTTTTTTCCCCTTCCTCCCCCTTTGGAGCAGGCTGAATTTTCCCGATATGGGCTCATTTTTCTTTTTTTTTTTTTTTTTTTTTTGAGACAGTGTCTCATTCTGTTGCCTGGGCAAGAGTGCAGTTGCACAATCTCGGCTATCTGCAACCTCCGCCTCCCAGGTTCAAGCTATTCTCATGTCTCAGCCTCCCGAGTAGCTGGGACTACAGGCGCTCGCCACCACTCGCAGTTAATTTTTGTATTTTCAGTAGAGACGGGTTTTCCCCATGTTGGCCAAGCTGGTCTCGAAATCTTGACCTCAGGTGATCCGTCTGCCTCGGCCTCCCAAAGTGCTGGGATTACAGCTGAGCCACCGTTCCCGGCCGAGGTGGGTTCATTTTTCTCATTGGGTGGCATTTATAATGCAACCGCATTCTCTGGAAGGTTGCTGAACACCACCCCCCCGCCCCCACCAACCCCTCTCTGGTAAATTTCTGAAGTGTATAGCGTGGGAGGGGCAGGTGATTGACTTTAGGCAAATCCCTTAACCTTTCTGGGCGTTAGTGTTTTCATCTACAGAGTGGGAGAATATCCAGTCCCCCTGCTATGCACAGATAGGGAAAAAGCATGTTTTCCATCCTGGTTCTCAAAGGTGTGTGCATTGGGTCCCTTGGTGGATTTATTAAATGTCGATGGCTGGGCCCACCCCACAGCCTCCTCTCCAGGAGGCCAGCAGGCCCGAGAATGTGCATTTCTTACGAATTCCCCAGTGATGCCGATGCTGCTGGCTGTGGGACCCAGGACCACACTGAGAATCACTGCTCTGTGAAAAATCCAGGCAATGTGGGACAGACTGGTCGGTCTTTGTGTGGGAGGAACAACTTTTTTAAAAAACTTTAATATTTTTAATAGAGTTTCACTCTGTCGCACAGGCTGGAGTGCAGTGGTGCCGTCATGGCTCACTGCAGCCCTGAACTCTTGGGCTCGAGCAATCCTCCCATCTCAGCCTCCTGAGTAGCTGGGACTACAGGCGTGTACCAACATACCTGGCTAATTTTTAAATTTTTTGTAGAGATGAGGTCTTGCTATGTTGCCCAGTTTGGTTTCAAACTCCTGGCCTTAAGTGATCTGGCCATCTGGGATCCCAGGCGTGGATTACAGGCGTGAGCTACTGGGCCTGGCTTTTTTTTTTTTTTTTTAATTAGGCATCCCAGCAGTGGCAGCGGTGGTGGGGGTATGTGGTGTTAGGGGGTTCATCAAAGTGAGATTCCTGCGTGCAGCTTCAAGAGTCAAGTCTCGGGCCGGGTGCGGTGGCTCACGCCTGTAATCCCAGCACTCTGGGAAGCTGAGGAGGGTGGATTATCTGAGGTTGGGAGAGCAAGACCATCCTGGCTAACACGGTGAAACCCCGTCTCTACTAAAAATACAAAAAATTAGCCAGGTGTGGTGGCACATGCCTGTTATCCCAGCTACTCGGGAGGCTGAGGCAGGAGAATCGCTTGAACCTGGGAGGTGGAGGTTGCTGTGAGCTGAGATCACGCCATTGCACTCCAGCGTGGGCAACGAGAGGAAAACTCCGTTTAAAAAAAAAAAAAAAGTCAAGTCTCTGAGAAGGTTTTGGACTCTATCCAGGTCCTGACGCTACAGTGGGGACCAGGCCCCTAGGCGTGGTGGCCTCCTGCTTGGTGCTGCGGCTCTGAGCTAAAGCCTCTCCCTCCCCTGCAGGAACCAGGCTGTGCGCATCCAGGAGGGCCGGTATCGCCACCCCGGCTGCTACACCTGCGCCGACTGTGGGCTGAACCTGAAGATGCGCGGGCACTTCTGGGTGGGTGATGAGCTGTACTGTGAGAAGCATGCCCGCCAGCGCTACTCCGCACCTGCCACCCTCAGCTCTCGGGCTTGAGCCCGCCATGCCCTCAGCCTGCCTCCCTGCTGGGCCAGGGTCATGCCTATATAAGCTGGCATGGCAGGGACAGTGGTGAGCAGTTGCTCTTACATGAGCTAAGTTTGGAGACCTGAGGCCCCTTTGTCCTCACTGGGTGGGCCAACGTCTGGGACCTGTGTTGGACTGTGGGAGTCTCACCCTTACCTTGCCAGGCCTCTCCCCTGCAGGACTGGTACTGCACTAGACTGAGGTGGCCACTGCCTTTGATGAACCTTTGTGTGCCAGGGTCTAAGTAGGGTCGAACACAGAAGTGGGAAGGAGAGAGGTGGGCCAGGGGCTAATGGTGTCACTGTGGAAAGTTTTTGACTTATGAGCTGTATAAACATATGAATACGGACAAAATAAAGTGGACGTCCCTTGTCTTTCCTACCGCCAGCCCTGGGTATGACCTGCTCCCCCAACTGGGTGGAGGGTCTTTATGAAATGTACATTTCTTCTTTTCCCTCCCTCAAATCCCACCCCTGCCAGTTGCCTGCACCTCACATTTCCCATGGAACGGCCTTGCCTTTTAGGTTGGGGGTCATGGTGTTCCTTAATCTTTTGGTAAAGATGCCCGTTGTACAGGAGGACCCTTGTGCTATGGAGGGAATGAGGTTGTCACTGGAAGCTTTGGAGGGGATGGTGGAGGGTGCCAAGCAGAGGGACAGGAGGAAGACCAGGAGACCCATCCAGCCAAGCTGATGAGACAACCTGTGACCCTGAAGGCCGGCCACCCACCAAGGGTTGGGCCCCCAGGGCCAGGTTGATCTACTGACACCTTCCACTTCTTTCCTGGGAGACTCTGCTGGCTTCATTGGTGATTGATTTGGAGGGGGGAAAAGAAAGGGCAGGGTGGCTCAGGCTGTAGCCCCAGGTACTGGGGAGGCCTGAGGAGCCCTTGAGCTCAGGAGGTTGAGGCTGCCTTAAGCTATGATCATGCCACTGCATTCCAGCCTGGGAGAGAGAGAGACCTGTCTCTTGAAAAAACAAGAAAATGAATGCATGTGGCCAGTGCCAGGTGAGCTGCCCTGGGGGTGCACTTGAGTTGAGGCAGGGGACAGTGGTCCCCCCTGCCAGCCTAGGATTTTGGGCCTGATTCACCCACTACCCCTAGTGCTAGTCCCAGAGGCTGCTGTGGAGGGGGCAGCCCCAGCTCTCTTTTCAGAGATCAAAGCTGGGCTTCCCAGGGTGCCTGGCTGGTCCCTGCCAGCAGCTTTGTGCTCTCTGGCACTTTGTGGAAGGAATCTTGGCACAGATGTTTGTGTTGCCTCCTCAGGCACCTGTAGATATAATTTACACCATGATATCATCGTCTCACCTATTGCCTGGATGGCTGCCTGAGAAAGATCTTTATTTTTACAGAAAAGATCAAGGCTGTCTGGCTCAGGAATCTATGGGTCCCAGGCGCTGGTCAAAAACGGGGTAGCCTCTTTGGCGCCACCTAGTGTCCAGTGCAGCCCATGGCGGGGCCCATTCACGGGGCAACACTGGGCTTCTGGGCACAGTGGGAGAACGGAAGGATACAGCCTGCCTCATGCTTTCCTGGAGGTAGAAGGCCAGTAGCAGCGACTGAGCTGGCATGAATTAATAAGGGGACGTGGTAGTGAGCGCTAAGGGCTACCTTGGAACGCACGGAGGAGCGTCCAGCGAGTTCAAAGCAGTGGCCATGATGCAAAAGGAGGGCTGGGTCTTGGAGAGGTAGAGAAGAGGAATGCTGAGTGATGGGGTGGCTGCTGGAGGGATGCTTAGCTCAGAGCAGTGGCCAGTGGGAACACTGAGATAGGATCGGAGGGGAGCTGACAATGCCAGAAGTGGTTTGAACTTCCCCTTGAGGCTCTAGGGACACTTTGTTTTGAGACAGGGTCTTGCTTTATTGCCTAGGCTGGAGTGCAGTGGTGCAATCTTAGCTCACTGCAGCCTCCACCTCCCAGGCTCAAGAGATCCTCCTACAGCCTCCCAAGTAGCTGGGACTACAGGAAGGCACCACTACACCCAGCTAATTTTTAAGGTTTTTTTTTTTTTTTTAAAGAGATGGGGTCTTGCGATATTGCCCAGGCTCGTCTCGAACTTCTGGCCTCAAGCCATCCTCCCACCTTGGCCTTCCAAAGTGTTGGGATTACAGGCGTGAGCTAACCTCGCCCAGCTCTGGGAACACTTGGAAGGTTGTAAGCAGAGAAGTGACAGGTTGGAAAAGATGGTTTGGATTACTGCTATGGATAGATTCCCAACTGTATGTAGCATGCCATACTGGGCCAGCAGTGTCATGGGAGTGGAGGGGGAGAAGTGGGGAGTGGGGACATGTGAAATGATGGGTATTCTGTGAGGTGTCGAATGCCTTCCAAAGGCTTTGTAGGTTCCAGCTCACATCCCCCTCTGGCCCTTGTTCTTTGGTGTGGCAGCCGGCTCTCCTTCCAGGTGTCCTGAGTATTTCAGCACCAGGTTTCTCTGCAGCCACACAATCAGCCTGGGCTCGGGAGCAAACTCCTCTGGAAGAACGGAGTTAAGAGTTGGTCAGCAGAGGAGGCTGGGGACAGGCAGTCTTTGGTCTTTTACCTCTGACCTTGTCCCCACCCTAAGCCAGCTAGCTGCATGCTCCCACTTCCTCTGCCACACACTGCCTGTGTTCCCCGGACTTTGTCCAGTGCGGTGCCCTCTTCCCTTCCTGCATTGTGGAGATCAACTGAAGTGACAGGTTAGAGTTAGAAGTGGCCCAAAGGAGCATCTGATACAACCCCCTTTGGTTAGAGAAGGGAAAGTGGCTTTTCCAAAGCTGCACAGCTAGACAGTCATAATGGCTAAGTTCTGGGAGTGCTTTTGATGTGCTAGGGATATTTTCAATGCTTAACCCTCACAACCTGAGATAGGTACTGTTATCATTCTCTCTGCAGATAAGGAAACCGAGGACCAGGAGGTTCAGTAAATGGTCCAAGTACTCCTAGCTAGTAAGGAATGGATCTACAGCCTGCTTCCTGGATTTCTGGCTTGTCGGGGGCAGAGTTTGTCCCTTTGTCATCAGAGACAGCCTTTCGGGCACAGCTCTGGCCACCTCTGGTCACAACTGGAGGTCACCACAGCCCTTCCCAGCCCTCTCTAGGCTCTCAGCTTTGTGCTTCCTCCTACAGGGACTAGCTCCAGCTGAGTTTGCAGGAAACCCACTTCTTGAAGCCAGGACTTCCCCATGGGAAGTGCAGGGGCTGCTGGGCACCAGTGGCCTCTGCCTGAGGGCTGACTCTGCTCTGGACACTGTGTCTCAGGAACTCATGGCAGTGGCTTACCTTGTCAGGATCGTGCGGAGGGGCTGCCCCTCCCGTTCCTTCAAGCATCACTCAGTCCTGGCCTGGTTCTAGGCTTGGGGCTGTGGCTGCCACAGGAAGGGGGATACCCCCATACTTTGGGTGTTGGGTCAGATCCTGCCCCCGTGCCCCACAGGGCTCAGGTTCCTCTGAGCTGATCCTGGGCTAGGTCGTATCTGTGTGGGGAGGGGAGAGGGGTGCACCATGGCCTGGAGGGGAGTGTGTGTTGGGGTGTGTGTGTATGGAGGTTCTTTTGAGTCACACACAAAGCATTGTGCTGAGACACTGCATTCCTGCTGGCTGGGCTTCCTGTTTCCAAATGCATTCCTGCCCCAGAGTCACCACAGAGACTGTTTGGAATCCTGCCCCACATTCTCCAAATTCAGGGCGCGATCTGGCAAAGGCTCCCTCCCCCACCCTCTTACTTTGGAGGGAGTCTGGGCTCCCTCCTAACCAGGGAGGGCTGGCAGGGCTCTGGCACGGCAGTGAGTGTGATGCCACACATCTTCTTGGGCTTGTATAAGGCAGTTCCTGGAGGCCCACCACTCTGGTTCTCTCTGCCTGTGGGAAGCAGAATGGGTACTATCTAGGAGGACTGGGCTGGGAGGGGGCAACCCAGAGGACCCATGGCTAGCAGGGAAGGGCCTGGGCTTGAACATGACTCTGTTGAGACATGGCCAGCAATTCCAGCACTTGGCTGTCATTCAGCCGGCCTGCACAGGGCTTGGCCGTGGGCCTCAGTTTCCCCATTTTATAAAGTTTTAAAATCTGATAGTTTGTGGCTGTCTGATAAAGGGGTGTTTGGGGAGTGGTTCCAGAAAGGAGCAAAGGGAAGGGGATGCACAGACGGTCTTACACCTCCCAGTTAACAGCCACTTCCTTCCAGTGGCTCTGGCTCCAGCCTCCCCCCTCCCCTAGAGGTCCAGGTGCAAGTCTGCACGTCCGCCAGCTCCCTTATCTGCCTCCGGGGGATTTGGGTCCTGCTGGGATTTTTCCAGTCCTGTCCCCTCCCTCTGGAGGAGGCGCCTTCCTTAGAGGCCACCAGCCCCAGTCTGGTCACCAAGCTCTCTCTCATCTTCAGTAGCTGCTTGGGTTCCTTTTAGGATGGGGAGTGAGGGGTGGAATCCCAGGGGCCAAAGGCGGGGTGAGGGGGGAACAGGGGGACATTTACACTTTGGCCCAGTCTCCAGGCGGCTCCCCGCCGGCTCGCGTCTTTCCAGACCTTGAGACCTAACTAGTCCCCAGCTTTAGGAAGCCAGGGATGAGAAAGAGGCACGGGACCGGGAGGGGGTTCAGATCTAGCCGAGGACACACGCACGTTCTGCAGTTGTAAAGGATTTCCCGGTGGGCAGGAATCGTTTCCCCTCCTATCGCCCAGCTTTCCGTGCGGCCAAGGGACTGGCCCCAAGCCACACGGCTGGGGAGCACCAGGTGCCCGCGTCCTGGTCAGGGCTCTTCCCACCGCCGGCACGTGGGGCTCCCATTTCCTTCCGGGCTCTTGTCTGGCCCTCCAGCCAGCCTCGGCTGTAAGTCTGCGGCAGGAAAACAGACCCTGCTTGTGAACCTGGGGGGCCGGGTGGCCCGGCGCCCCGAGCCAGACGGCGTCCCCAGGCCGGGGCCGGGTCCTCGCAGAACAGCGGATCGGGACCCTTATTTTGGCTCCAGCCACAGTTGGGGGCGCCACCCAGTCCGGGCCTTCGAGGTGCTGGCCGAGTATGCCCATTCTTGGCGACCCCGCCACCTGCAACCCCCACCTGGTGCCCTTCCCATCCATCGCCTCGCCCCTCCTCTCTCTCTCCCCGCCCCTCCTCTCCCTCGTCTCTCCCCTTCCTTCCCTCGCCTCGCCCCTTCCCTCGCCGCGCCCCCTCCCTCGCCTCGACCCCCTCCCTCGCCTCGCCCCTCCCCTCCCTCGCCTCACCCCACCCCTTCCTTCTCTCGCCCCTTCCCTCGCCCGTCCCCTCTCCCCTCCCCTCCCTGTCCTAGCCCCTCCTCTCCCTTGCCTCGAGTCTCTCCTCTGCTTCACTTCTCCCCTCCCTCTCTCGCCCCTCTCCTCCTTTTCCTCTCCCACCTCCCCTCCCTCCTCTCCCCTCCCCTCCCCTCCCTCGCCCTCGTCCTCCATCCCTTAGTTCTTGCCCGCCCATCTTACCTCGCACCTCCGCCTCCGCGTTCTCGGCCCTCCATGCTCGCGTCGCCCTCCCTCCCGCGTCTCGCCCCTTCCTCCTGGTCTCCGTTCCTCTTCTTCCTCTCCCCTCCCCCTAGGCCACGCCCCCCCGCCCTCCCGCCCTCCGCCCCCCAGCCCCGCTGGGAGCGTCCGGGGGCCGCGCCCAGCTGGGTCGGGACGCGCGCCCTGAGCTGCCGGCGCTCCGCAGGGACTCGGGCCGGGATCCTCGGGAGGCTGCAGCGGCCGGGGCCGGGAGCGGGCCATGATGGGCCGGCGGCGCGCCTTCGCCGTGGACGGCCGGGGTGAGTCGTCCACCCCCAGGCTGACCGGGCCCCCCCGCCCCGGAGCCGCCTCCCGCCCCCAAGCCGGGCAGCCTCTCTCAGCTCCTCGCCCAGCCCCGCGCACCCGGCGGGCGGCGCCCGCCCCGCTGCGCCTCCCTCACCGCCTCCCTCTGGAGAGGCGGTCATCAGGGGACGCCGTGCAGGCTGGAGCCCCTCTGGACTCAGGCGTTAAACCAGCCACCGCCTCCGCCCCACTTCCTCCGGCTCCGCTTCCCTCACCTTCCCGCTCCGTCTGAGGATGTGGGAATCCGCCCGCGCCCCAGCCCCCGCCGTGGCTGCGGACCCCTCTCCCACCCAGTGACCTCCTGGCCCACTTCCTTGCCCAGAGGGGCCTGGGTTGGCATCCGGCTCCCGCGTGCCCCGCAGGTCGTCCCCGCTCCCCCCGGCCTGTTTCCTGTACCGTTCACTCCGCCAGGACGCCTCGTCGCGAGAGGGCCTGGCGGAGGTGACAGTGAGGGGGTGCTAATGCTGTCCCTTCGTCCCTTTCTTTCACTTTAGTTCTTTAATTTTAAACTTCTCATAAAATCTTCACTATTCCTCACTTACAACAGAAACCCAAATCGGTTAGAGCGGTGATTTTTATCACTCTCCCCGTGAGCTGCAGGAGAGACTTCACCTGGCATCCTGATGCTGCAGGGGCCCCCAGAGAGCAGACTGGATCCCAGGCTTTCCTCTCTGTACCCTCTCCCCTCTCCCTGAAGCTGGACACAGTCCTACTCCCGCTTGGGGAGCAGCGGAAGAGCCTGTGGCTCCCCACTTCTGACTTGGGAGATGGTGGGCTGATCCTAGGTGGGAAGCGCAGGCGCAGGCCATCTAAGGGATGGACGGATGTGGCCTACCAGGGCTTTGCCTACCACAGAGCTCAGAGCACGGGTTCCCTGTCGCTAACAACTGTTGTGAAGGGAATCCCATCCACACATCTCCCAAATAGCTGGGGTCATATCCGGGCAGCCCGTGGCTGTCCAGTGACCACCCTTCCTCACTGGTTCAGGACACTCCTCCCTGGGGCAGTGCTGCCAGCCATCAGGAATGCTGGGGGTGTTGGGGGTGGCCTGCCCAGCCTGACACTGACTCTCCATGCAGATGGGACTGGCGAGGGCCTGGCACGGGGCTGCATAGTGCCTGGAGTCACCAGCACCTACAGACGGATCCCGGACGCTGCCCACGGGTGCTCATCCTGGGAGAGAGGTGACAAGCTCAGAGGTGTCAACAGGGAGGCGCTGTTTCTCAAACTGGCTTCCCGGGACTCAGGAGTGGAGATGGCAGTTGGGGACAGCCCCCTGGCTGCCTTACCGGGCCTTTCTCAGGACTCCCTGGACTTTGAATCCTCAGGGAGTCCCGAGCCCCCAGCCCCTGTAGACCAGCCCCTGGCCAGCCAGAAGCTGGGGCAAGTGCTGGAGCGTTCCCACCGGCTCCCAGCAGCTCCCGCTAGCTTGTCAGGACAACACCGCTGCCTGCGGCCGCCCAGCAAGTGCGAGCGTGAAGTGCCCCTTTTTGGAGCAGGGGAACCGGAGTCCATGGAGGCAGACACAGACCTAGAGGCAGGCCTGGAGGAAGAGGCGGTGAGTGCCCACTCTCAGGCTGGGTTTAAGAGCGGGATGGACAGCCTAGCTCCTCTGGTTCTCCCTGGAGCTCTCTCGGGGTGCGGCACTCCCTGCCCCTAATTGCTGGGTTGTGTCCTAGATTCTTGCTGCACCCCACTTCCATTTGTGCGTGGCCACCTCCACAGAGGAGCTGGGCAGCTACGGGCCCTGCCTGGCACCATGCCCCGCTGGGCAGTGGGGAAGCTGGCTGCACGTGTTCCTCCTCGGGGCCCACTCCGCTCCTATCTGCTGGCTGAGCCCAGTCTGGCTGCTTGGGGTAGGGAAGGAGCCTGATTGAAATCTCCCCTATCTCACAATGTCCCGCAGGTGGGGGGCCTGGGGCCTGGAGCCTGGGCCTGCCTCCCTGGGCAGGGTCTTCGCTATCTGGAACACCTGTGCCTAGTGCTGGAGCAGATGGCAAGGCTCCAGCAGCTCTACCTGCAGCTGCGGATCCAGAGGCCCCCAGGGGTGAGTGAGATTCGTGTGGGGGTAGTCGGGCCAGCGAGTGGGGGAGGGAGAGGACAGATGGGACCCCGGGAACTGTGGCTGCCCTCAGAACAGCCTCACGCCTCTAACCAGGCCCTGATCACCTGTCTTTCCTGTGCACAGGATCCCGGTGAGGAGGAGTCAGCCCGAGCCCCTTTACCGTCCCCCTTACACACCCCAGGTAATGGGGGGCAGCGGCCATGGGAGCTGCTAAGCCAGACAGAGCAGACAGGTGAGGGGCCATCGTGTCGCCCTTTGTCCTGCATGCCTGGGGTCCCACCAGCAGGTCCTCTGAGCCGAAGCTTGATGGGGTGTCTTCTGGCCCTGGCCAACCTGATTCTTTTTCTGAAGGGGCAAAGGCTGCTTCACCCCCAAAGGTGGAGGTGCCCAGCGCCAACCCTCCCAGGCTGCCAGAAACCCCAGTGGAGCCAGCGTACCACTTGCCATCCTCCCAGGGACACAAGGTAGGGGACGGGTGTATGTGGGGCAGGTGATGGGCTGGAGTGGGGGGAGGGGAGGTGGGGATGCATGGGCATTCTGGGGGCCAGCAACTCTGGGAAAATGACAGGATTGATTCCTGTTTGGAGCAGGTGACTCATCCTGGCTGTGGTGACAACTGTCTCTGGGAGCTTGGTTGGGGGTCTGAGTGTGGGGAGGGCTCTTGGTGACCCCTCCTCCTCTGCTCAGCGGGATTTCTCCCACTGGGACAAGGTCAAGGTCCTGCTCAACCGGATCTGCCGGAGAAGCCACCACCACCCTGAGCCCCCTGCCCCTCCTGATGGCTCTGACCCCAGGTGAGCCCCGTGCCCAGCCCAGGTTAGGGCACGGAGAGGAGACTGATGAGCCAGGATGCCGAGATTGTCATGCCAGTTGTCAGTGTTGTCCCCGCAAAACTTGAGAGGCAGTCTGGGAGGGGCTGCTAGAAGAAACAGTAGTTAAAACACCCTATTTGCAGATAAGGAGGCTGGGTTCTGGGTGCGGTTGGGGGTAGTTGCTTTTCCAAAGCCACACGTCAGCTACAGCCAGGACCAGAATGTGGGAAATCTGCCTACCCCAGCTCAGCAACCCCTCACCCTCAATGCTGACATTTAGGCCACCTCCCAGGTTTGTGGGGAGAGCAAGGTGGAGCACAAAGGATTTCACAGTGGGTGAAGGCCATCATGCCTCGGGGCTTGTACCGAATACACAGTGGGTGAAGGCCATCATGCCTCGGGGCATGTACCGAATAGTTCTCCAGGGGTAAGAAGTACCAAGTCATTTAACAGCCCCAGGTCACACCCCCACCCTGCTACCTGCCAGTAGATGAATCATGTTTTCTCAACTCTAGGACCATTGTTAGTTTTATTTTCTCTTCCTAGCCTAATGTCTTCTTTTTATTCCACAGGATCGAGTCCAGGGACCTCCCTGAAAGGCCTCAGTGCCGCCCCCACCGGAAAACCTTTATGCCGTCATTAGTGGTTAAGAAACAACGAGCACAAAACCTTTCTGTAGGCTGAGACCTCTCGGTGCACCTGGTGACCCTGGGTGGAAGGGACTTGCTGTGAAGTCTTCCTCGCCCTTTGCCCTGTTGCTGCTTCTCCACATTGCCAGGAAAAGCTGCTGATGCCTGCCCTCCTCTCTTGAGTGGAGGGTGAATCTTTCTCCTCTAAGCAGTCTGGTCAGGAGCCCTGGTTTCTTGAGAGGCCCCCAAGATGCGGCAGCTCCAGGGCTGTTCCTCCTCACCAGAAATCCCTGGGCTTCCACAATGTGAACTCACTCATTATCAGGTGTCCATGGAGTATTTTTGACCGGTGACCTGTCTGGGCCCAGCATGTTGCAGATGTGTATTTATGCACAATGGTATGCATATCTCTGTGTGACTGTCAGTGTTGCAAGCTGGCTGGATCCAACCATCTCTTCTGAAATAATGCATCCAAAGGGTTGATATTCTGGGGGAGGTCACTGCAGAAGGATGGAACTGACCTTTATTCCCCAGTGGGCAGTTACTGAGCTTTCTGCCTCAGAGCCATGCTGGCAGCCCTGGGACAGAGAACGGTGTGGCTTTGACTGCCTCTGCATGGAGTCTTGCCCCAGACTCCTGAAGACTGCACCAGAAATGAGGAAGATCAGGGACAACCTGGGAACAGAAGAATAACTTTCAAAGCCAGTGCTCAGCTTCTCTCCCCCGTGCTAGCGTTTACAGGCCCTAACTCAAACCAGATGCCTGTACTAGTTTTTAGACCCTAAATCAACCTTTCTGAGCCACAGTTTCCAGCTGGGAATAATGATGCCTGCCCTACCTACCTCACAGACTTGTTATGAGGATAAAGTGAGATTAAACTGCCTCAAAGTGCTTTGTAAACGTTAAGTGAATAGGAACGGGGAAAGTAAGGCTGGAGGGATAAGGGGGGCATGGGATTGCTAATGGGGACTAAAATGGCCGATCTCTGGCAAGATTTTGAGCAGGCCACTTCATTGAGGCCTCTTAGATTTCATATTTGAGAATTAGGGCACTGATTCCTGACTGGCTATAGGCATGGGGGTCACTGGCTTGAGTCAGACACAGGAATGTCTCTTAGAAATGGCCACTGATAGGCATCCTCCTCCTCCAGTCAGGAGGGGCTGGTTTCCTCATCTGTTGCAGTCTCGACTGCCAGAGGGAGGCGGGCGTGGTAAGCAGTCGGGGGTTCCTTGTGTTTGGGGTAGTCCGGCTCCCGCTGCCTTTGATTCCGGAACCAATGATCCGAAGCCTTCTTTTCTGATGGGATTCTTTAGCGAGGACACTATCGAGGCGCGACTTCCTGACGCGCATCCGATCCGGGAAGGCGCACTTCCGCTCCCCAGTTGCCGCGGGATGGCAGGCCGGCGTGGGGGAAGGGAGAGATCGGCGGAGACGAGGGAGGGACCATATCCGGGAGAGTGGCAGCTTCCGACCAGTGGTCGCGCTTCCGGAGAGGCGCTTCCGGTGGCGGCGGCAGCAGCGGCTGTGGTGGTTCCGGGTGTCTTTGTCCCCCCGGTGTCGCTGCCCTGGCCCGCAGGTGGGTTAGGGGGCCCCTCGCCGCCCCTCTGCCCCTTCGGCCCTCCGTCCCTCCGCTGACCGAGGGACTGCGAGGGCCGGGCGGCGAAGATGCGTGGGGCGCGGAAGGGGCCGAGCCCCTCTTTGGACTGCAAGTCCCGTCTCCCTGGCAACGGCCTCGGCCTTGGGGGCGGGCGGGAGGAGGAGAAACCGCGCGCCTCAGTCCTCCCTCGGTGGCCTCGCCGCGGCCCTGCCGGGAGACCTGGCGCTGGCGGCTGCTGAGGCCGGAGCGGAGGGCCCGGGAGCGTGGGAGCAGGAGGGTGGCGCGCAGCCGGTTTCGCGTTCGGTCGGCCAGGGAGCTGCCTTCCCACCAGCCGGTCGAGGAAACAACGGGTCGGGCTTCCGGGGAGAGGGCTCACACCATCTCCTCGCCGGCACCGGTCTCCTCCATTTTTCCGGGCCCTGCGTGGAGGGTTTTGGCGGATGTTTTTGAATGAAGGAATGTCATCGGGGCTCTCTCCAGCCCCTCACCCCGCCAACTACTCTGGGGGTGGCGTGGCATAGTGAGAGGAGCGCTAAGTTGTTGGGTGGCCTGGGTGTGAGTACCAGTTTTGTCACTACCTGATTATGTGGCCCCGGGCAAGTCTCTTGATTCTCTCTGAGCACCAGTTTCCTTGTCTGTAAAACAGCATGACAATATGACCCACCACTAGGTTATTGTGAGGGCAAACTGAAACAATGTAATTTATTGTTCCATTTCTTACTTCTCTATATTCTCTCCATCCATTGCCTTCATTCATTCTCATTACCTACCTCCCTGTTTTCATTAATATCCTTACTTAAGATTCTCCACTTTTCCGGGTATAGATGGAAATTTCCTGTGTGAGCTGTTAACTTCTTTCTTTTTGGATTGAAGGCTTTTCCCCACGACTCTGAAAGAGGACAGCGTTCCCAATGTCCCAGTTTAAGCGTCAGCGGATCAACCCACTTCCAGGGGGACGCAACTTCTCAGGTGATCACTTTTTTCCCTACCTGGCCTCATCCTGGGAAGTATGTGCTGTGGAGTTAGTTTGGGGTTTCCCTGGTGGAGAGCAGTTTGCTGCTGATATTCCTCTGGAAAACAGGAGATTCCCACCGTGGTTGCCAGTGAAGCCCTGTGGAGGAGCTGGCTGGAGCTGTAGCCTTTGGATTTACCACATCCTTTGGTTGACTCTAGTGCTTAAGGTGGTAGGGGTGGTTCCTGTAGATTGCTTCTCTTTCCCCATAGGCACAGCTTCAACATCTCTTCTGGGCCCTCCTCCTGGTTTGCTCACTCCTCCTGTGGCCACAGAACTGTCCCAGAATGCCAGGCACCTTCAGGTAGGTTGGGCATCCCTTGTAGTTTCTGCCCTTGGGACTGGATGCATGGAGGCCTGGTGCTCTTCATCTCTTACATAATAGTGTTTATCATTCCTGACCCCTCTCCTGGTAGTAGGCTAGTACGGAGTTTCCCAGATAGCCTTCAGACTGGGGCATCTTCATTTCTCGCTCCAGGGAAATCTTTAGCATACGTCTTGGAATTAATGAACTGGAAATCCTAGAAGAAGGTTGTGGGTCAAGAACCAGCTCAAACATGCCCTGACCCTTAATGATGGAGTATGCCCACCACACACCTGTACTTCACTCTGTGTGAACTCTTGATGCAGTATGCTGAGCAGGGGTGTGGGTTGAGATGAGACTTTCATGGCAGAGTGTGATTTTGTCCAGCTTCCTCTCTTTTATTTTTCAACTGCTCCCTTTTCTTACAGGGTGGGGAGAAACAGCGGGTCTTCACTGGTATTGTTACCAGCTTGCATGACTACTTTGGGGTTGTGGATGAAGAGGTCTTTTTTCAGCTAAGGTAGGCTTGAGGTTGGTCCCCTACTGGAAATGCTTATTGGATTCAGTTCTGTCACCGTGCTGGTATTGCCCACCCCCCTCCCCAAAGCCATTGCTTTGCTGTTTTTGTGCAAGGTGTGGGAAATCTTGATGGGAAAGGCCTCATGGGGCAGTCAGGGTGGCTTGGCCAGGGTCCCTCTCCTAACGGGGCCTCCTGGCTTGTGTGCTGGCAGTGTGGTGAAGGGCCGGCTGCCCCAGCTGGGTGAGAAGGTGCTGGTGAAGGCTGCATACAACCCAGGCCAGGCAGTGCCCTGGAATGCTGTCAAGGTGCAAACGCTCTCCAACCAGGTATTCATCTCTCCTTAGCATGTGCATTGGAAAGGGGAGGGATGGAAGCCCCTGTGCCCTGACAGCTGGGCAAAACCCTGACTTTGCTCAAGGGGGTGGGACTGCATCTTTCCAAGGTAGTGAGTGCCTCAACCATGGGGTCCCCTGAATTTCCTGGCTCCTGTTCTGCAGCCCCTACTGAAGTCCCCAGCACCTCCCCTTCTGCATGTAGCAGCCCTGGGCCAGAAGCAAGGGATCCTGGGAGCTCAGCCTCAGTTGATCTTCCAGCCTCACCGGATTCCCCCACTCTTTCCTCAGAAGCGTGAGTACGAGTGGCACTATTGTTGAGTGTGGCTTTATGGGGCAGTCTGGATCAATGGACTTTGAGGTTGTTGCTGAAAGTCCGTTAGCGTAGAGGTGGGTACTTCAGTGTACTGGAAGAAAGGTGGGTGATTTGGATAGGTGTTTAGGAATTTTTTTTTTTTTTTTTTTGATGGAGTCTCGCTCTGTTGCCCAGGCTGGAGTGCAATGACCCGATCTTGGCTCGTTGCAGCCTCCACCTCCTGGGTTCAAGCCATTCTCCTGCCTCAGCCTCCTGAGTAGCTGGGACTACAGACATTCACCACCTTGCCTGGCTAATTTTTTGTATTTCTAGTAGAGACGGGGTTTCACCGTGTTTTCCAGGCTAGTCTTGAACTCCTGACTTCAAGTGATCCATCCGCATTATCCCCCCAAAGTGCTGGGATTACAGATGTGAGCTACTGCGCCCGGCTGGTTTTTAGGGTTTTTGAGTCACCAGTCATTTCCTTTCTGCAGCTCTGAGTCTCTTCCAGACATCCCACACACTTCACCTGAGCCACCTGAACAGATTTCCTGCCCGGGGCCCTCATGGACGGTTGGATCAGGGCCGAAGGTAAGAGGATGATGTTCCTTTTTTGGCCACTTGTTGACACTAACATACTCTTTATTTTATTATTGTTATTTTTTTGTGTTGGCCAGGAAGTGAAGCCAGGTCTACTGCTTGGAAGGTGGCTATGCTTACCACTGACATTCTCTGCCTGCAGCTAGATCCTAGTCCCTTTTCTCTGAAGTATGTGGACACACTGAAATGTATATAAAAATATTGGAATTTTGTACAGTGGTTTAGCAAGTAGGGAGTTGATACAGTTCATCTTTGAAAATGTCATGTTGAGATATTTCTTAAATACTCTTTTGTTTCTAGTCCCTAAGTTGAGATGACAGGAATGGAAACTCAATAGTAACATGTCAAAAGTAACACTGCAGTATCTCTTTTAGTTGTTTAAAACGTTCCTTTATAGACACTATTCTCATAAGTATGCTGTTAGAAGGTGTATATTGCACTCTGCCTTGGACATGCAGGTAGCTTTCTCAGACATGTGTGGAGCAAGCATGGCTGATTTGGGCCTTTAGGGTATCCTGGTGATCCTGTCTCATCTGTAGCATTGGGGACCACCAGGAGCATGCTGTGCTGTCCTCTCTCCAGTTGACGTGTTCCTTCCTCAGTCTCACTCTCCCTGAGTGTTTTGCTTGTACCTTTAAAAGTTAAGCTCTAGCCTGATTTAAGACTTGTTCTAGTTCTGTCTTCATTTTAAATTTGTCATAGTGGAGAATTTTAGTATATGCAAGGTAAACAGAAAGGTATGAGGAACCTTATACCCATTACCTAGCTGCTTCAAGTATCAGCTACCATTCTTTTTCATCTCTACCTCCATCTACTCACTGCTCCTACTTGATTTTGTTAAGGTAAAAAAATTTAAGGTGGAACTTACGTAGATTGAAATGCACAGATCTTGACAATTTTGACAAATGGGAAATCTCATGTAACCCTTAACCCTATTTTTTTTTTTTTTTTTTGAGACAAGGTCTTGCTCTGTCACGCAGAGTGGAGTGTGGTGGCGTGATCATGGCTCATTGCAGCCTTGATCTCTCTGGCACAAGCCATCTTCCTGCCTCGGCCTCTGGAGTAGCTGGGACTGCAGGTGTGCACCACCATGCTTGATTAATTTTTTAAAACGTTTTTTGTAAGGCTGGGTGCAGTGGCTCATGCCTATAAATCCCAGTGCTTTGGGAACCTGTCTCTACAAAAAATAAGTAAATATTTATTTATTTTTGTAGGGGGCAGAGAAAGGGTT